TCTTGAGTGATGTCGGACATGGTCGCGACCAGAGCTAAGCGAGGCGGTGTTGTATTGGTTGGCTGTAGAGGATGCAACCTAAGTCTAACGGGGACTATGGGCGTAGGGACTATGAAGCCAAGGAATACAACCGAGGCGAAGACGTGGACGTAGGAAGTTCGTGGACTATGGACTATGGGGCCGAAGGGTACACCTAAGGCAAGAACGGAGACTGTGGACTATGGACTATGGATGGTTGTACCTGGTCTAGTATACCGGGTAAACCCTATGACGTAGCGCGAACCAAATAGTATTCGTGACTGTAAAGTACAGAGGTTGCATAAAGAGAAAAGAGAAAGAAAGAGAAACAAGAAATCACGAGACAACGCCCCCCTTATATATCCATACCCTATCCCAATGCTGACTCATACCCTCGCGTAACAGAAACAAATAGAACATAATAGAAACCCACTTCACTAAACCCAACCACACTGCATAATCCTTCTCCCTTGTACCCAGACAACTCACATAGCCAATCCGTCTAGCTGCCGTTACAATACATTATTGAGTATATTATGAATATTAAGAAAGAGTGCAGTGGCTGGGAGGAGGTGAAACCTCCCAAAAAACTGGGGCGGATTGAAGAATTCTTGGAAAATTGAATATCAAGCAGAAGAGTGAATTGGCTGGGAGGAGGGGAATTCTCCCAAAACTATGGGAGACCGAAGCACTTACCTCCCTACAGAAATCTACAACTCGTGATCGTGAGGTGGCCTACTGCTAGTATATATATGTACTTGTACAAGCCTTTTCTACACCGCCACCTCTACAGCAGCCCCACCATCTCCACATCCCCCGCTTCATACCTCATTTTTATAATACCTTTTTACCTCTTTCCAGCTCAATAAGTACCTCTAGCAGGCCAGCAGTCATGATGTTATAGGAATTACGGGATGCTGTGCAAAAAGTAAGCACAGTGAGGAAAACGAGTTACGGGCAGTGATGGAAGTACAGTCGGGTAATGAAGGGATGAGCATAGAAAGGTATCGAGTACTGGAGAAGCACGTGTTGCGACCAAACTAGTATTAGGCTATTGTGACAGCACGCTTACTATTAGAGTGACTTACCTAGAATAGAGTAGGAGTGGGGCTTACAGCTATTGGCTATTCTACTTCGGGAAGTAGGTATAGGACTATTTTGGTCCGACCGCCCCCACTGGCATGCCTTCGAGAACTCAGCGAAATCGTTTCATTGGGTGAAGGGAAGATGGATCAGGATTAGTTATAGGATTTCATTATGTTCGCTTGATATTTCTTTAATTGTGGTTGCTGGGGTTAGTCATCAGGTTTCTTTTTGGGATTTATATCTGGAGCTTCGTCCCATCTCTCTGTACTTCTCTTTCTTTCTTCTTCACGCAACGTCTTCATTCTGTTTGTTAGCACTATATTCTATTTTCGATCGGTACTCAGTCCGGTCCCCCGTCCAAGTCCATAAACGTATCCGAGTCCATACTAGCCTCGATACTTACCCTAGAATCCCGTCGGAGAACCCTGCCTCTTTAGAAGGACAATAGTAAGATACAGCTCGGTTACTAGCATTTGCAAGTTCAAGGTTACATGTCAGAATGTAACGGCGTAGTGCGAGTAAGGAAGAAGTTCGGGAAGGAGAGTGATTAGTAATCGGGAGTTCGTTTGTTGTTTCTCTTTTAGGATTTCGATAGTATTTGGGTTTTCCTTCTATGAGTTTCTATTACACGAATTAGTCATCAGGTTTTGGAAGCTATATATTGTTGTAGTTTCTCTTTGTACTTTCTTTCTTTTCTCCTTATCCGAACTTCCTGTTATATAGGAATATATTGTATTTTCTGTCTTCGAACCTTTACGAATCCAAGTCGTTTAACCGCTCGGTTGTGCCCCTTGGTCCCAGTCCTAGTCTTGCTCTCACTTAACGTAACGTGAAGCGTTTGATCCTGTTCTTGTTCATTTTCTTCGATATTCTATCATTAGGAAACTTCGTCTAGTATCAATCGGTATCAAGCCCGATAACTCCGAACCCTGAACCTCGTCATAGTCTTCCCGAGTCGGCCCATAATACGGAATTAGGCGTGAGAACAGGACTATTCGGGGGCGCTTTTCTGTCCGGTTTATCTTTAGGTCGATTGCATTATTCTACTAGCATTATCTTGTTAGTACTAGAAAGCGGGGCTTCGCAAAGGTTCCAACATGTATAAATAGGAGACAGTTCTGCCTCGACTTAGTGGTATCATCAGCCATCAAGCAAGTGGAATCCGGTCTACAATATTAAACCGTTTGAAAGCTACAGAACTATCGCTTTGCATGGGCATTTCCCCAAACACATGATGGTTGGAGCAAAAGAAGCTTTCCCAGTAGAGCTCCTTGATGTTTCGCCGAGAAATCGTGTTTCGAAACAGTTGTGATGATTTTCCCTATTCGAAGATGTTAGAGCTAATCAATTCAACAGAAATGTGAGGGGTTGTGACAATTTGTTGATGAATTCATTTCACAGCTATAAATAATGAAGTACTTGTAACCAACAGCAAAGAAGACTGAGCTCGAGGGAATACGCAATCTCTTGGCATGTTGTTTGCAATATGGTTTTTTACAATCGTAGTTGCCAAGCTCAAAACGATTGCAATTGAGTCACAACACGAATCAAAACGAGCGGTTACCTGATCACATGATTTGGTAAGTTGATATAGGGGTATTACTTTAGACACTGTCTGATAGCTTAATCCAAATAGTCCAGATTTATTAAATTTCGACCGCCCACTGTTAGGGGTGGTAGCACTCGAGTGTGCAAGGAGAAGTGTCGATCCATGTTCATCCCGCTGGTTATGTGCCAATGCGTAATATCTGCTTGACGCCTGTGACATAGGCGGCTATGGGCATGGGGCCACGGGAGGATATATAAGGCCTAAATGTTTCGGTAGTAAAGCAATTAAATAAGCAGTTCGTTTTCTATTTTATCAATCACCACTAGGTCAAAGCACAGATTGAAAAGTACTCTCAGCCTTTTACATTATTATAGTTTCATATGATACTTACTGCAAAACTGCTCCGGTTCAAGGCGTCCTCAGCCACAGGCGTCCCCAGCCATACGCGAGGGGGATATTGATAACGTCTTGGCGTCTTGGCAGTCGTCGTTCTTTCATTCCCATGAGTACCGAGAATCTGATAAGATAAACATCCATCCAATTTTTTCCAATGCAAGACCTATCTTATCAGATCTCCTTAGCCCTGGCACCCAAGTGCTTCGCCTATCCTAGCAGCGCCCTTGACCCTACTGGATGCCGTCGCAGGACATGTAACAGGCACTAACATGTATGAGTATTAACTGGTAGTGTAGAGTGGGTAGAGCGGCGAGACATGGTGCACCCTCCTGTCTTTTTTGTTAATTCGTACACGAGTTCTCGGCAAAGGTACTAGAGCAAACATACTAGTGGGAGATGACGTCGGGGCAATATCAAAACCTTAGCGAGTGATAAGCATTGCGAGTGGGAAACTGAAAGTAGAGCTTAATTGTACATTGGGGCTTGGTAGTTGAAATTTATTCACAGTATGAACAAATACACCCGCAAGGTCTTAACGGATGATGTTCTAGCCTGTACCAGCAACCTCGGAATACTAATTGGCTACCTTCCTCTTTCAGTATTCTTGAAACTATCACTGTCCGCCATTCAAGACCAGATTCAATTACTTACCCGGACCATTCCCTTTCCCGACGGAATATAAAAGTAGCAAGGTTGACACCTCCATTGTGGTAGTTAGCCCCCTGAATAACTAAATCCTCAAGCGTCTTCCTTGGATTCCTGACCTTACTGTTCAAAAATCCATAAACACAACTTGCTTCTTACGGGTTTTATCTTGCCCAATTAGACTCTTGCGCTTAGATTCAAGGCATAGCCGATTATCAAGTAATGTATCTGCTACACCATCATCGGAAAATTACAGAGAAAAAAGTACTCCCCCGGACCTAAGATAATACGTTTCAGGTTTAAATTCGTGTGAAGCACAGGAGGTAAAGGCCATCGCTGAATTGTTTGCTGAGGGTACTTGCGTTCCGAAAATCCATATATGAAACCCCATCTGTTAATATATCTTTAGGAACCAGGCCTTGACAAGAGTTTCCCCGAACCTCCAAGATTTTACCTCCCCCCAACTCTATCAAGAAAAATCTGGGTTGGGCCTAGCTTGTAATTAACTTAGTCCAATAACCCGGAGGAGAGAACGCCAAATCTTTCTAGAGTATAGCTTCAGTACGTTCCTTGTATCAAATCTGAAATGGAAACTGCTAATCTCGGGCCAGAGACAGTTTTCCGTGCTTCAAAAGACATTTCTTTAACATTGGTCTCGCTGTATTAGAATTCACTAGCCAGTAATCCGGTTCTTTAACTTTGGGCTCTATATGCCGAATGATTCTTGCAATCACAAACCTTTCACTTCTGGCCGTTTACCAGATTTTTGGTCCTCAAGCGAGGTCCATCCCAGAGAACAGACTCCTCCTATCTACTTCTATTTGTCTTGATGGGGCACTTCTACCCAATCAGATTTCGACTCAACAGAGTATTAACACTGATTTACACTCCTGCTTCTGTCCTTTCTCTCCCCATAGACTGCGACACGATGGCCCCTGACGAATTTTGTAGGGCTCACACCAACTACACTGCAGAGTCAATAATAGCACCAAAAGATGTGGCGCCGACCGATTTGGCCTTCACAAGGGTCACTGATATATATACCTATCACTAGGCGTGGTTTTGGACAGGTCATATGTGGCTTGGTTATATATTTTTACATCGTGTTGGTTTATGAAATTTAAACACGTCAATTCATTCTCTCTTATTTATATCAAGAGGTATTGCAAGAAATGTTAGATCCCAATATTGATATCTTCCAAGCCAGAAATGAAAAGGGAAGATAGTATAAAGTAAAGAGAAAATAGTACAGACTATTCATTCTCTTGGAAATCATAGAATCGCTGGCCAGTCCAGTATCTGGGCATCAATAAACCCGACTTTGAGCAATACACTCCTTGAGATACTCGCGCCGCGTCTGCTTTTCCGGCTCACCGGGGTAGCTGAACGGCCGGATATCAGGTTCGGGAACAGGAGTTTGATTCACCCTCAGATCAAAGAAAACGCTTCCCCCAAGAATCATGTTTCCTTCGGCAATTGGTTTTGCATCGCCGACTTGGGCAAGCCCAGGGCCCTCCGCGTTCACCTCGTTGGGATCAATGTAAATCAACACTTTGAAGCAATTTCGACTGTTGAAGAACTCTTTGTTCAGGTCCAGATCCATTGTCCTTCGAGCATTCAAAACAAATGCCAGCAGACCTCTTTCGAGGAGGTCTTTATCAAGCGTTTTCCCTACCTCCTCGAAAGACACACGATTTACAGATATCTGAGTGCTTGGTGAGGAGAGAAGCATGTGGTCTGCATGCATCTGGGCCGGAGTACCGTAGAGGTAAAAGGGTGTAAAGGCCAACTCGAAGCTTGCATCAAGAAACTTGTGATTTAGAGGACGCCGCTTGATAACCCTTGTCAGCGTGACTTGGACACCCTTAGCGATGATCAGTGTCTCGTCCCTAACACATGTATTATCGTCAGTCGGGAGTGCAGCTTGTTATATATCACCATCATCCGAGAGCATAGCGTTCGATTACCTTTCTTTACCGAGCCACTGAACTGTTGCCATAAAAGACTTTCCTTCTGCAACATTTATCATAGCCACTGGTTCATCACTGACGAGAATGATTGTTCGGTTCTCAGTATCTTCATTTCTGGCCTTGACATAGCTATCCATGTGCCCAGATGGGATATCCGCAGTTACAATGAGCTGTTCGCGGTGGCCGGCCATGTGGAAGAGATGTTGGTGCACAAGATGCAATATATCCGTGCCTTGCATGATGAATCGTTGAATATCAGGAAGGTCTGGTCGGTTGCGTTCTTGACGGACCTATGTATAGGCAAACAGTCAGCTCAGACTGGAATCCGCGTGGAAGATGGCAAATAAAAGGCTTTCCGAATCTTGAAGAGTATGATTGAAGTTTTTATTAAATACAAAGATTCTTACCTTCGCCTGCTCCTCCGCGACTCTCTCAAACTCCGCCATTACCTCCTTGAGAATAGTTCTCTGAAAGGTCAGGAACGGCGATGTCAAAACATTTCTCAAGATGTACAGGTCCTGAGGAAGCTCCCGTCGGGACTTGAAGTCGAGGCCAAGACGAGTCTTATAGTCCTCGGCGCATTTTCCATACTGAGAGTGATAGAACTCGGTGGATGAGATGAAGAACTTCGTCTCGTTAATTGGTGGAGCTGTCTCTCCCCCTACTCGGAGCCTGTCGACGATACATGCATTGTAAAAGTTTGCTTCTTCGACATCCTCGTTCCATTTTCCATCCTTATCTTTGAAGTTGCAAGCAAAGGAATTGATGACCATTTCGGACCCAATTTCCCTGAGAAGCTCCATTGCCTTTTCATCTTTGGAGAGATCCCAGTTCTCTTTATCGAGGATATTTTTGGAGATGTATTCCCTCTGTGCTTTGACAGCCTCACTACTTCCGTATCTCTTGACCGCTTTGCGATCCTCTGTCGGTAGCATGTTGAAGGGTACAACAACGAAGGTACCAGTTTCCATTGTGGCGAAATAGGCAGATATCTATCAACGGGTCCTCACGTTAGTCCCTCTTAAAAAGAAATGATAGTTAGTGAATTACCCTGGCGCTTGAGAAAACGGCTTCGCTTAGCAAGCTTCCATATCCGCTTTCATTCAGCTGAATAGAGCAATGCGCGACGTATGTAGCTGAGGCTGCAGCCCCGGGCTTGCTGTATTCATACGAGATAATCTTAGCGAGAGGTTTGGGCATCTTTCAGAATCGGAGCGATGTTGAGGACATACCTTCCTTCAATGCCATAGATACCAATATCTCCCATTCCGGCCCCCGAGATGTAAGGACTCGACCACGTGACTAAGAACCTCATTCTTTCATCACGATAGCATAGGGCTCCGGCTGGATAGGGAATGTAGCCAGTTTTGTGTGGGTCCAAGGTGACAGAGTTAACATGAGCCATTGCTCTCAAGTGTGTTTCAGTGTGATCCCTGAGTCTGAGAGCACCAACGTATTCTTGCTCATCGATAGGGCCTTTGTATGGTACACCCAACGGGGGTACCATAGTCTTGAAGTATCCACCCCAGTCAGCATCAACATGGATCAAGAATGACATACCCTCTGCCTGCAGGGTTTCACGCAGCTTCACAATGTCTTCCACTGGATCTACCGAGCCTTCCTCCGTTGAGCCGGTGACTGCAACTACAGTGTAGACAGCCTGCTGATCCTTCAAGCAGTCTCGAAGCTGCTTCTCGAGTGCGACCATATCAATCCGCGCTTGATTATCAATCGGGATGTTTTTCAGATTTCCGGATCCAATCCCGAGGACAGCTGTTATTAAATTAGCAAATGCTATCTCAGAAGGAAAGAGAAGTTAAATTACTAACCGGAGCCCTTAGGCCAACAGTAATGTCTTGTACTTGATACCATAACCTGAGCAGGTTTAATGATATTGAATTTAGCTTCAAGCGCCCCTCTCCCAATGGTTTGAATGCTGTATCGATCCATCACGTTATCGAGGAATGTTGATGTTATGAAAAACTCATCTCTAAATCTTTTGGGAATATCTAGAATTGTTTCCGGTTTGAGATTCTGAAGCTCCCAGGGCGTGAGAGACTGGAAAAGCTTCTTTTCACCGTCACAGGTTTCCACCTGAAAATTGGTAGCAACCTCGGTAGGGAGAGCATTCTCATCGATAGCCCATCGCAAGGAAAGTGGATAGAACTTGAGGTTACGAGCTAGAAGGACAAGAGGTAAGTAAGTTTGTTATAGTATTCGACGAATGTTCCTACTGACCAACCCTAGAGTAGATATCTGTTAATAAAGCTAAATATTATAACCTTCTGCACTTATGGAATCTTCGAGAACGTACCAAAGTGACTCAAGATTTGCTACAGTTCCGCCGGAAGTAATATGACCCCAAGCTACATTCTCCTGGGTTTGAGGGCCATCTCCGAGAGTTTGAAACCCAACTAGCCTGCAGAGATCCATCCCAACCTCCGACTCGAGCAAAGTTGTGAATGGGCTAGCCTCTGCAATGATGTTGTTCTGGTTACAGAGCATTCCGGTCAGGTAGCCCATGATGGCGGGCATGCAGGGCTCATGAACCATATGCGAAGTATATCTGGGTGACCAAAAAGGCCGCCTACACTGTCATTGGGCTGGAATAACTGTCTTCGGGATATATGCCCATCGATGACATAGTTGATGAGGTCTTTGAATTGACTGGCGTTCTCTGCCCTTGGTCCTAGAAACAATCCGCTGATGGCTTGATGCCGCGCGTTTACATTTGTATCCGAAGACATACTTGATGGCGGATTGCCGATGTGAAATCGATCAAGATACTTCTAATGACAGGTTACACTAGGTAAGGTAGCGAGGCGAGAAAATGAAGGGCACAATGGCAACTCTACTTGCGAGGAGAGTGAGAAGACTGATGAACGAAAGTTTCAGAGGTAGTCTGTTTGGGCGCATCGTGCTTTAAGGAGCCCAGCTTCGTAGAATAAAACATGGGGGTCGTGGGGTCCTCAATTCTGAGATCAATGTGCGGAATGCCTATTGCAGTAATGATTCTGCTCATTTTCACGTGTACTAAGAGTGGGTTAATTTTCAGGTCTACTCTACTCACCGGTTACACGACAGAACTTACGTAAATAGACGATTGTGTATGTAGGTTGTGGACCATGCACTCCCCGACCACATCCTCTATTAATAGCAGAATCCGGAAGGAGAAGCAAACCTTTAGATAGAAATATTACTTAGCTGCAGGCTTGGCAACGAGTAATTGCTTTTAAAGATCGCTCCACTCCGCAGAGAAACGGAGTATTAGCTGATCGAGCGGTGATTGAAGAAGAAAGTTCATGCAGAAGAAAAAACTTCATGCAGAAGAAAGGTTCATGCAAGCTCTGATGACAGCTTCAGTGGCCGAGGCATATTCCGGATAGCGCTTGATAGATTCCGAGCATCGGATTCACCTAAATATGATATATTAATACTTACATTCCGTGCTATTAGCAGAGGAGCTATGGCGCCAATTCTCATGTGATAATTATCAGATATATCTCAAGATCGATTTCGGCTGAGAATCAATCTCTTTCAAGGCGTCCGAACTTGGGACGAGTTTCTTTCCTAGACTCAGTATGTCTTTAGAAGGTTAAGTCTTCGTAGTCTTTTGGCGTTTCGGACACAACTGCTATTGCATGCCCTACAAAAAGATAGCCTTGGCGAGTTTTTTCTGTGTATGCAATAGCAGTTGCGTCCGGAAACGCCAAAAAACTACGAGTAGAGACATAATTGGTGTGCATGAGGTAATTGAGACAGAAGAGATCTTGCAGATGGGTACTCATATCGGGAGTTCTCCTCTATAAAACCTTTCGCATTGGCGGGGTATCTCTCTTTCACATGTTATTACTATCATATCAATTGTCAATCCAGGTCCTTATATCTGTGATCGACAATGTTTCTTTCGGTTCCAGCTTTCTTTCACAGATGGAAATCTAATTAGTATATACCTATCCCTTGGACGGATGAAAGTGGTCAAATTCGCGACCTGGACCGTGCACCATTTAGTAAGGGAATTGCCTTGCTTTTTACGGTTTATAACAACAACAGAGCCAATCAAGAATGAGCAACATTTACCACAGAAAGCTAGTGATAGCTGAAAGAGGTAGGTCGCGAATTTGACCACTTTCATCCGTCCAAGGGATACCGGGCCCTATGCCGAGTCCTGTGCCGAGTATGTCATGTGTATTTTAAAAGTTTTGATTGCATGGCTGTGTTTAATTTGGATGTTTGTTTTTATCGAGCTATTGATTATGGTGAGTCGACTGAGAGGCAAGGTTATGTTGGAGGTTATGTTAGATACCGTTTCTTTTAGTTGTTATTGAATTCTTCTGTTCGGCGATTGTGATTTTGATATGGTTTGGGTTTTTTTTATGATACTGTGATTGTGATATATCAACGGTATCCCAGTTTAGCAGAGCAGCGCAGAGGCAGTACACCTCTCTGGTGACACTCTTCATTATTCTTTACTTCACTACCCTCACTAGCTAAAGGCCGGAACCGGCTTGTATATCCAGTAGTCACGATGCTTATATATATAAATTTGAGTTATTACAGCTCAAATTCCTGACCCGTCATCGACATCCAGAGGCGTATAGGGTGTGAACAATTGTGATAAATTCCTTTTGATAACGAACGGCTAAGATAATTGGGCATGACTTGATTGACTTGGGCTGCGCGTTCCAAGGATCGGCCTGAGAGAATGATATTGATCAGTAATACACAATAACGACTGATCATGAGTATGAGACATAATTCTACGGAACAGATGATCATATAAAAGGTGATTAGAGTGTTTTAGTCCTCCCATATTTCGGTCATTTTTCAGACTCGCAGCCTGTAAAGGTGCAAAACCAGAAATGATCTCCATCACCTTGAGCTTGATATTGGTCTATTTTTCACTCTTACAGGACTCGGCGCAGGTCTTGGCGCAGAGAGTCTGAATTATGGTTGTGAAATGGAGAACCAAAACCCTCTACCTATTGTCTTCGCACCTTGGATGCAGTGTTACCACCATCGGTAAAACTACGAAAGTGCCTACTGTAACATCGACGCTGCGCATACCCGCTGACACAGAATCTAGGTCAGGTCACGGGTATTGTGATACCTAATGAAATTGTGGGACAGGAGGTTGAGGGTGACCCTGTCAGCCTGGTGTGCCCGGGGGTGCCGGAAAGTGATGCAGCGATCAAATAGTCCATATTCCTCAACAACCAAACTAGCTAACAGAATGTGGAGCGAACTTATGGTACTTTAGAAGCTGGAGATTGTTGTTATGGTAAGAGGTAATATGAATAGCCATTGCTTCTCCTTTTATTACTGTCTCTTGTCACAAGTTTTCCTTTTGCAGGCTCAAAACCCCAAATCAATATGCAATCACTTGAAAAAAATGCAGATTCTATTCTAGAAACTCGTGTATCATGGGTATGACTAAAATATCCATCCTGTTCAAGCATTGTGTTGTGTTAAAAATTGAAATTCTGAGTGTCTTTCCACGTTGCTAAGTCAAACGTTGGATCACTTTCCGGCACCCCTGGGTACACCATTTCCGCGAATTACCGGACTGTCTCTGGCAAGCAAACATTGACGAGCCCCAGCTTTATCTGGACTTCATTCAGACTGTCAGAAGCATTCGGAGAACTTGCCGTAGTGGTGTGCACGGTTGCCAACCTTGCGCTCTACAGAAACAGAAATATGTATATGCCGACTTAGTATGTATGTCATGAAGCTTTCTTTCACGTGATTATGATGATATTGATGGGCACGGCTCCGGTTGTGTGACGAGAGAGGGAAATGTGTTATGTAAGTATGTACATACCCCACACTTCGTGATGCAAGCAAGCTGCGGGAGTGAGACATGCAGGGATGAAAGCCTATTTTGACACCACTGGACTGGCCGTGCTGACCGATCTACTGCTGCATGCTTTTTCCACAGGCAAGGAATTTTGTGCAACTTGCGCTTTCTCATACGTCGTCTAATATAAGCGAAAACTAAAATGTACCAGATCATAGATGGGGTAAATCAAAACTCGTACCTTACTAACCTCTACAAAAGGAAGCACCATTGCATACCATACAAATACGCCCGCGCCAAGTCCATATGCAAGCTAATCTATGTGCGCGGCAGTGATGATATGGAAGGGATCACGTGATCTTGGGCGCAATGGTGGTGGTTACATCAACATCAGCTGCAGTCTGGGCTCAAAGTATACATAGACTCGAGAGACATACGAGTCCGCTTATACCCACTCAGATCTCGAATTCAAGGGAGTTGAACTTTCCCGAGATTTTATAAATTCTTACTTAGGTAGTATAAGCTCTCGATCCTAATTTTGTGTAATCAGTAAATAAATCGTAACCAGAACCCCATGTAGAAATCCGTTATAACGTCATGATATTATTAGGCGCTGAAAGGGCAATCTTTTTCCACACCTACATTAATTTCAGCCCATACACGGGATATTGCTCTGAGAGGCAACCCATCAATTTATTGGTAAAAGCACGACCCATTGGCGGAACGTTTAGTGGATAGGTATGTCCGTTGTATACATCAGCAAGATTGTACATTTTAAGCAGCCTCCCAACAGTCTCCTGAGTCTCCTGAGATTCTCCTGAGACAACAAAACGGTTTTTGATTCTCTGGAGGCTCAGGAGATGCTTTTCGGAAATTGTTCAGTTTCCTGATGTAGCACAGAACATGTGACAGGCTAGGTGGGCCGGGTCGAGGCCCTTTCTCTCCCCGGGTATACCTATTGCGCGCGGGGCCTGACTTTTCACTAAAGGTACAGATATAAACCGAAACACCAACTCAGGGCTAGGGTTAGTTAGGGTTAGAAACCCCAAATTCAGCACATTTGTTGATTGCGGAATGGTTGCATAACCGGCAACATATCGAAAATTGTTACATCAATAACTACCGTTTGAGTGGTTCAAAGTTTTCTAGTATTTCTCGAGACCAAGCTGAGCCTTATCTTGAAATACTTTTCCATCAAAGTTATCCGTCTTGTGTGATCTTGCAAGAAAAACCTCTTTAGTGAGGGGCACGAAATAGGTTATCTAAAGACTAAGTCCTCAAACCTTTTAGCACAACAAGGTAAAACTGGGGGCTGACAAAACCAGATTATCCAAGACTAGGGCAGGGGGTTTCGAGACAAGTCTCGAAACCGTTTTAGCTTTTTTTTCCGCATCTAAATATCACCTCCATGTCTACTTCCAAAGAGTTAGAACTTTTGATCTCCAGTAATTGGCATTATTTCAGAGTTATCCTAGCCCTATGATCAAATGACAGAAATTCTCCAGGCTTTGACGAAACTAGACCATTATCTCGAGACTTACGAGACTAATTTTAGATAATACAAGGCGAGGCGAGACCTTCCTAAAGCTCTTCTCGTCTTATCTCGTGCCCAACACAAATCGAGAGAGTAAGTAGCTTGACACATCTTGTCTAGTAGCATCACTTTGCAGCAGCTTCTTCATTGCCCTTTATATTTTGACCTAACGCATATCTGGGGTAACCTAAAATATTGGCATCCCTTTTCAATTTCGGGGAAGGACTTGATGTTCCCGATTAGTCTCATTGGAGTGAGTTACTTGACCGGTGGTGTAGAGAATCAATTTTAGCTTCAACCTATCCGTCTTAACGTGGGCCTCTCGGGGGTCGTCTTATCCATCAAGGTTCATGAACTGGTCGCGTACTTCACCATTGGACAGGTTAGTAAACAGAGTTGAGCAACCTGACAAGGCACAAAAAAAAAACTAATTTCCTTTGCCGTCAAAAGTAACCCTTGCCAGCACACTACGTATCAACGAGGCGACCCAGCCCTAGCCCTATCCATGTCTTGCCAGCCTTAACCCTTACTTTGAGACTTTAGTGAGATGACATGACCTAGCTATGGTGGACCTGTGGTTTGCGTCACTAAACTTGGTTGATTTAATCTAAATACAAAAATAGACCCTTTCAAACGCGGGCAGAGAAATTGGATATGGACTGTGGGTGCGTGCGGGTGACGGTTTGTGATCGCACCCGCATGTAGAGTAAACCCTAGGCCCTACCACAGATCACGTGCGGTGCTAGCGAATGATCACAGCGCCAATGATAGAAATAGAAATCTGTTCTGGATCCACCAGAAGAGTCAGGTACCCACAGCTTGGCTGATTAGGCCACAGCCCTCCAGGACTCGGTGAGTCCTTCAAAGGACCTTGCCAAAGTGACATTCTCGCCAGGTCTATCAGTTGGGTTGATTGGGATGATCCAGGTATCACGACGAACAGGTCTAGGCTCTTGTATCCTTTTACAATTGTGGACGAAACCTAACCAATGAGTTAAACAAAAAGAAAATTCGAAACCTAGCCCTAGCCCTAACGGCACAAAAGGATACACGCCTAAATACTCCCCCGGTCTGCTGAATTCCATAACAGATGAACTCATTTACCCCACCGCGGGTAATGATTGTCAAATCCCGTTTCCTCAGTGCGACAAACCTTCCAAACCTGGTACGATATCTCATACATCTTCCTCTTTTTCTCTATGTTCTCCACAACCGGTACGTAATGCTCACTCAGCAGCTCGACAATCTCCTTCCTATTCTCCCCCATACACTTCTCTATATCCCACTTCTGGACCCTCGCCCCGTTCTCCAACAGGGCCCGCACTACCTCCGTCCGCCCATGGTTGACTGCCTGCATCAGCGGCGTCTGGCCATACATGTCGTTGCAGTTCATATTAAACATCCATTTCTGCGACAGCAGGGCGTGCATCATCTCCGCATCTCCACCCGCGGCTGCCCAGATCAGTAGTTGATTGCAGTGGTAGGTTGTTTCCGGGTACACATGCATGCCGGGAGCGATGCAGCGGCGTACGGTGAAGCCCAGGCCCCGTTTGCAGGCAGAAGCAAAGATGAGTTGGGGGTAGCGCTGGAAGTAGGCATCGACAAATGGAGAGAGGAGGCTGTGGAGCGTGCGGCATATCCGGGAGAGGGCGGAGAAGGTTCTGATGTCAGTTTCGAGGTAGTGGGAGATTTGGAGGAGGAGCTCGAGGGGGAGCGTCGGGGGGGGGGGCGGGTAGGAGGACATGGGGAGCAGCGGAGTGGGGTTGCGACGGGAGACCACTGGTGGTGTGATGTTTGTGAAGTGGATGATTAATCGTGCATATAATATAATTGCTTCTTCAGCAATCAATTCCATGATGAGGTCGAAATGGTCAGGACCGGTCCAGAAAATAGCTTCGAAGTGGACCAAATCACTTTGAAAAATCCAGGACCGGACTGGACTGGACCGAATCATGATGGACCGGTCAGGACCGCATAACCTAACCTTAGACAAATGATAGTAACCAAATCCATTTATTTATTTTTTCAACCCTGTTCTAGTCGAAACTTTCTTAGACTCACTGTTTATCCCCCAAACCACCTTGATATTTTAGGCAGAAAAGGGCCTTCTGAATGGACCAAATATTACTGGGTGTACCAGTCCGTTTTCAGGCATGGACTGGACCGACTATTTACAGAAACTATTGATTCCGGACCGGAACGACCATTTATTGAACCGGTCCGGACCGTATAACTCGCGGACCATATCAACCTCTTAAATTTTAATCCCACCTCTGTATGTGCGTTATGTCTAACTACATACCAAGGTCTCTGGAGACTTGGTTAGGTTAGCTGTGTCTGCATCATTCCAGCTAGAAGTCGGTAATGTTAAGCAAATAACTTCGCAAGCTCAGAAGATGTCAAATTCTAGCTAATATGGTGTGAGATTGAATACAATACTTATCATAGTGCGTTTATAAAGGATAACTGAATAACTAGTGCCCTATTTGGCACGGTATTTTCGTCCCGTTGCATGCCCCTTTGGAATTTCATGCAAGGTCGATTATCTCACCCAAGCCTATTTCGACATATCTGTATCAAAATTGGTCCATAAAGGCGAGTATCCAATACCTATCCGTTCACTCAACCAGCAACGATTACGCTTCCCTATCTCATAATCCACCCACTTCTCAAGAAGGAGTTTTCAACCTATCCTCTTCTTGCTCGCATCGTTGATACCTGATTCAATTTTCACCTGAAAGGACCCACATCGTGTCCGAGGAGGACCACAATAGCCTACTCACAACCCTTCAACGCAAGGATACTAGGAGGCTTTACACGCTCATAAGACGGATTCACCAGTGGATGCATGGCTTCACAGGTGGGTCAGAGGTATTGGACACCGCCAAGTGCATGACCCTACGGTACAATTTTCGAAAGATAGTTTACCTGTACCGGAAGGTGACGCGCGGGGACTGGGCTATCCCGATATCTTACTCTTTTATCCTCTATAGGAGATGGCTACAAAAGAATAGTGTGCCAGGAGGGATGAATTATCACAGGTAATATTTTACCCTCCCACAGAGGTAATATTCAATTGTTGAAGAATAAAAAAGAAGCATGAAGTATGGGTTGAGCCTGCATGCATATATGCGCTTATACAGGACCTATCCACTACACTACAATTCGAGATATAGCTACTATTAGAGGAGATAACTTGTAAGAGTAGAGGGGAAAGTTACCTCTGGGCGGAGATAATCATAGCTTTATTCTAACCAAATTTGGAAGCTTGAGCCGGCATCAGATTTACCTTCCTCTGGGGATAGATGAACAGGAAATATTCAAAGAGGCCCATACTACCCCGTTTCACCCCCGGTTAACCGGCGGGGCAGATGATTTACCTGTCTATACCCGAATAGTTGTACTGTAGGGATGAGGCGGTAGCTGGTGGGGCTGCAGGTTGGGGGCACTTAAGTGGTGTCGAGGCTAGTTGTCGATTAATGAATAAGGGTGATATGAAGTGCTGGAAGAAACGGGTAAGGAGAGCGTTCGAGACATCAAGCGGTTCTACCAGGATCTTGTAGATCTGTTAATCTCAGTATTCAACTATTTGAGGCTCCAACTCAGCTAAAGGTATTTCATGAGAAGGGTCAAATGGAGATATACTAATACAACTACTCAAGCATTTTCCTACGCCCTTACTCTAAATAGGATGGAATAATACATTGAACGCACTTCCAAGTCAAGTACCCAACCGCATAAGTAGGAGGAGTGCTATATATGATATAACTCTTGATGTATTGAGATACGAGCTATGTTACAACTTGAGTAGGGATACCATATCCTGGTAGTTCGATTAGATATCTCAGGTCAAACACGACATAAAGTTATCAATATCTGTTCTTGTACAATTTATGCTTCTTCAACAGTTCTTTCATCTCATCATCCCGCGTCTCATGTAGGACACGATGCACGGTATAATTGGCCTATGCCCCCTTCTCCACCAACATCGACGCCATCTCCAACCGCCCATATGCCACTGCATAATATAGAGGTGTTTTGCCGCGAGAATCGACGCAATTCGGATCGGCCCCCACGTCCAGCAAAAGCCCCAAAACCTCAGAGGACCCCCAATTCGCGACAGCACTGAATAGGTCCGCACCAACTTCAGAATGATCGAGATTGACGCCCTTCTTCAGGCAGTGGTAAATGATGTGCGGGCGGTTAGAGATTGCTGCGCAGTGGACGATGCTATCTTTGTATTCGAAGAGATAGTCCGTGAGTATAGTATCACAAACGGAGTTGTAGTAGCGGCATGTCCGGGACATCGCAGAGAGGGCACGCAGTGGGAGGTATTCTGCTACCACTAGCAGCAGCTCGGGAGGTAAATATGCTATCGGGCGTGGTGAGGGCATAGTAGTGACAATTTGCAAGCGTTGGGCTGCTGGGAGGCGGGGAACTGAGGAGCGGGGTTATTTATCACTGCGCACGGATCAGTTGCCCAATCATATGGCTCCGCGTGGCTTTCAGCATAGGACTAAAATTGGCGGGAGCAGCAGGTCACATGATCGTTCTTGAGCTCGTGATTGGGGTTTTGTGATTTGTGTGATCCCCATCCTATTGCAGATTTAAAGAAGCCTAAATAAAAGTCTTTTGTTGAATCTACCAATGAAAGATGAAAAATGCCACTATAGGATTGTTTGATGGTAGTCCTGTTATATAATTATTATGTCATCCATAAGAGTAATAGGGTTATCAGAACGTGATTTTCAAATGCTAACAAGGAATATTTGAGTGAGATGGATATCAATTTTTGGGCTTTATGAGGTACTCAACTGTGGCATCTTCATATCCTTATAGCTGTCTCCCAAGAATGCGGACTTGCACATACAATACGGCTTCTGTGTGTTTGGACCACAAGGTTATGGAATCCAAATCCGCATACGAACTTTGAATACTCGCTCCATACATCACTCATCCATCGTCACGTCCATAGTTCAGCCCTATATTTTTCCTTTCCCTTTGTATTCTCATCTTAATGTTTAACAATAGCTCCTCCATCTCCCGATCTCCTCTCAGCCGTACAATCCTCGCCAGCCCATACTTACCACCCAACGGTGTCAGCCCGCACCAACCTGCCCCCGCAGCTAGCAACACCCTCGCACCCTCCACGTTGCCACATCTCACAGCCCTCCCCAGAGAGCTATACCCAAAGGGATCGACCTCTTTCACCGAGGCCCCATACTCTAAGGCGACCTTCAACGTTTTACTGCACCCATTCTGCACCAGTAGTGCGAGGATATCCTTCGGCATAGAGCAGTTGATTTTGAGACACCGGCGCATAGTCTCAGCGGAGTCTGACAGGGCGGCCCAGACGAGGAGTTCGCGGTCATTGGAGACGATGAAGTCGTCGATCGCACAGGTGATGAATTTGTTGTTATTCAGCGAGCGGCAGGTACAGGTCAGGGAGCAGAGGGAGTAGATCGGAAGGTCCTTAATGATGATATTTAGGATTTCTAAGGGGAGGAGATTGGGGGCTGTTATACCCCAGCGACGAACGCTCTCCATTCAGGAACGCAATTCTATACCGGAGCGTTCGCCGATAGAACCCCCAGCCAGGAACGCCACACCCGCGCCTACCAACTTAAACCTTGTGTTCCAGCCTTGGATGCATGTATATTGGGTCCAAACCAGTAGAAGAGGTTCCTCAAGCACCATTATGTATTTGAGTATATATGTAGTGTATTTATTTGGATAATTCCTCAGTGACTTGAGATTCAACAAGCGGCTGCCAAAGACAATACCGACATTCACGCTGACACCAGCATTTACATGACCGAAACTCGAGCTGGTGCTACCTCTCAGTACCAGTGTTGTCCGATATAACAATGCGTTCATGATTGGGGGGCTAAATTGATACCCCATTCGTGAATAGGATATCCCATTCACGACCGTTCCTGACTGGGGAGCGTTCGTCGCTGGAACATAACAGGGCCATGATGCGATGCCTTGGTCGTAGGTGTGCCAGGCGGGGTTTGACTTGCGACGGTATATATCCGTGCGTGCCAAGCCGCTGAATGAACCCAAGCCGAGACATGACCGGCAAGATATGCACCCCGTTCGTGATGGGCGTTCAGAAGTAAAAACATTAACGACGGTAAACTTAGCTTGATCATAGTAATACCTGAAAATAGAACTCTGTGCCTTCTAAACAGTGGTCGAAATGTTGTGTTCTAGTCAACCTGACGATTCAGCTGATCGGAGGAGATAAGCCAGTTGACCGGTCAAAACAAGAATATTCTCCGATAAAATGAAGCATCCCCGGGTTGACTATCTTCCTGGGTTAAGGGTCAATCAAGGAATATCACAACTTCAAATACAGCCCGTATATCCCCGACCCGACCAGTACGGGCGTGAGTTAGTGGATATATTCTGGAATGAATTGTCTTTATATTTTTGCGGTAGCGTACTCGGCCCTGCAAATCTCAAACGGTATTTCCGGAGATGGTATGTCATCAAATCCCACGGATAAAAGGTCGCTACTGTCAGTCAACGTTCATGTACAGGTCACGTCAGAGTGCGTCTCAGTAAATTGGCGCATAAGAGGGGTTGAATTGTGAGACCAGTGCATCAACCTTATTCCAGTACCCAAACGTTGAGAACTATTTGAGTCATCCAGGAATATGTTAGACAATTTGGCGACCCCCCTGAGTTGACTCCGGGGATAATACAGTTTATCGGAAAATATTCCTGACTTGACCGGTCAACTGGCTTATCTCCCCCAATAGACCATATCCCCAGGTTGACTAGAACATTGACCTTAAACCTCACGCCTCCGACGCCGCCACCGAGACCCAGGAAAGTCCTTTGGCTATCATGCTCACCGCTGCAACCCCACTCTTGCCTCCATCAGCAACCCACCAATCCCCACATTAATGCAACTCGAGAGCTTGATCCCAAGTTGCTTGTATTAATGATGGGGAGATCGGCCGGAAGTTAGTCCTTCCTTCACTGATGAAATCGAGAGTCTTCTCTAATGACGACTCAACTAGAGTGTTCTCCTACATGTAATACATATCAAATTCATTATCTGGTAACTCCGCCGAATGATTCCTACCTAACCCTTAGTGTATCATTATCTGAATACCACATTCATGCTGCAAACACACCACAATCTGTACCGGCGATATTCTCTCAGCCTGCTGTCATTCGCATCGACCCGGCCATTACCGAAGTGGAGGGCGTGCTAGCTGGCGGGGCGCGCACGTTACGAGATGGGATTAGGTGAGGCCGGTGGAGGTGGAGAACGTGAGAAATATAAACTTGACCGCAAGAGGAATCCTCCCATGTCTTTTTTTTCTTTCTCAATTCTGATCTATCAAGCTATTTTACAGAAACCGGGCACTCTTATATACTACTATTGTCTTGGCATAGTAATGACATAATAAATACTCACTACTCGGAAGCGTGGAGTTCGCTCCGAAAGAGAGAAACCGCGGGAAGGGTTAGGGCTTCACATACGCTCGCTGTAAATGATACGAACCTTTTGCTGTCACGTCATTGGTCACGTGCGGAAGGCTATCTCTTCTCCTTCTGGCCCGGCTTTTAGTCGGTGACTGGCCGACAACTGAACCGACCGTATCCTGCAGGCCTCTAGATCTTCTGAGGTCTTGGCACTGGTCCCGCAGGAACTCCAAATAGGTTCAGGGTCAGGGTTGCTTCTAAATGGGTGTTCGTACTCAACACAATTTGTATCTTTAGTCCTTCAGATGTCGGAGTGCGAACTCGGGAAGTGGGGGATCAGACAATGTACGATATGGACGGATCCTTCCCATGCCGGCTAGGGATCTGGGATCCCGGCAAAGCATAGCCTCCCACCAAGGCGAAATGAAGTAGTTCTTTCGAGCACCAATGCCTCTGGGTTGTTCTCAGTGTTTGCAATGGGACATCGGTTTGGCGGTACAAACCGGTACAGAACTAAATAATAATGAAACCTTAGTACAGTTTGAGCTTCAGGCGATAGTGCCGGTTATACGGAGACATGCAACCCACTAAACCGGTACAAACCAACTAACTAAACGGTACGCAACATTGTTTTTCCGCCGCCTTCGGTAGAACCTTTGCCCCTCCGGAGCTCTAGCACTGGTTGTTCTCAGGCAACTTGCACATACGGAATCTCCTATGTCTGGGTGATTTCTATAAACGGCCTTTACAGCATTAAAATTCGTATCTGCTGAACATCAAGTTCACAAGACAACCAATACCTAGGGCTTCTTCCCTAAGGGTTGCGCAATTATCAGTGGAACCCAACAGAGTTTATTGCCATTTCCTTAAGGAGGAGGGAATAAACTAAACTAGGCTCGGAAACCATATCGTTCAAACTCCAGGCCCGTCATGTGACCAGTTAATCCACAGCCATATATCATAATACATTCCAGAGACATTGTCGTTAATCATTTCGTAGAAGGTTCATCTCGGCGTTCATCCTCTGCAGCGGGTATTCACACCCCAAGCCCGCGCCCTACATAAGACCCATCTTCGGTTTCTGCAGCCCCTCATCGTTTCCCCATCCTGCCCAACCCCTCATCACCATCCTGAACCATCGCCGCCGGCGGATCGCTGCCGGTGGACCCCCGGCCCACACACTCGCCCCTGAATATATCAGAACCTCCATTGCCTCAAAATCGCGCCCCAACATTGCCTCCACCAGGGGCGTAGGACCCAGGCCGCCGTTGGTACCGTTAGGATTAACATCTCTTCGCTCTAGGAGTTTCCGCATGAGCTCTATCTCACCTGCTCGCACGAGGTCGCTCAGGAGGCCCCTCTGGTCGGCCGGCGAGATGGTGTAGCGTCCAGGAGCATATGGGAGCGCGGCTTTGAGGAGGTCATATCTGCGGGTGCGCGCTGCGCATGGGAGGACGCGTGAGGCCCGGGCGGGGACGTGGAAGATGAGGCGGGGGGCAAGGAGATGGTGAAGGGAGTGGCAGGTGAGGGAGAGGGAGAAGAGGCTCGGAAGGGGGACGTAATCCGCGATGAAGATGAGGAGCTCGATTGGGAGGGTGTCCATGGTGTTTGTATCTGTACTTTAATTATTAGAGTACTGGGGAAATGGCGGGGGAATATATATTGTCTGAGGTAATGTGGCGCTGTTGTGTGGCGTATTTGCGGGCAGTGGGATTCCCATTACCGATAAAGACAATCAAGTCGGGCGTGTTACAAACATGGGGAATTATGAATAAACAGTTGTTTGTGGGACTGCATATATACAAGTAGTAGGGGAGCCCCCGGGTGTTACCTCCCCCCAGGTCACTCTTTGCCCACAGGTGTACCCGCGCGTGTATTCTAGAATTTAAATTCCCTCTACTACCTATGATTGATCTCTCCGATCGGCCGAGACTACATGACATTGATACCTGCTGTATTCCATTTAATGGTGTGAGCGCCAGGTATAGGGTTAGGGTTTCCCAAAGGTTTTTACCCGACCTATTCTTTTACATTATAGTAGATTTATATTACAGTAGATACAAGTACATACATATCGATTAGCGCCAAAGAGAATGGAACTCATGAATGCCCCGGCCCTACATTGAACGCGCCCCCGTAGAGAGTAGGAGCATGTTCAATGAATGGTGTGTGCCGCAATTGCAAGAGAATTGATGATATTCACTGTTCCTGCAGCTGTACGTAGATAATAGTATATCTTTACTCCAAGTGCAGAGCCTATCATCACCGGAAGGGGCCAGCCCAGCTGAGCCCCAGGATCACCACATAGATTGTGCTAGAAGTATGAGACTCCTCCACTCCTCCTGACAACCGATACGATTAGCTATCCGCTTCATGACACATCACCTTCTTAATTAGATACGTCAGGTTAAGGCTCCGAAGATCATAGAAACCATGCTCGATTAACAATATGATGAAATGAAGAGACAACGTGGGGCACAGCGTCCTGTTAGGACTAGCTAGTCTTGGCCCTGGACAGTCCATCAGCTAGTTGTCCCCTTCGGATCCAGTCACCCCACTTCCCCCCTCGATACAACTCCTCCGGTACAGAACGTCCATGAGCTTAAATAGCTATAGTCCCCTCCCCCTCCCGTCCTAGACTCCTTTGCATGCTCTAATGCGCTCTTACCATCCTTCAAAGGAGCCTTGTTGTCGTAGTATCATCGATGTCGAACAGGAGGAAAGGGGCTTCGTCCAGACAGGGGTTCGGGTCGTGGTAGAACAAAGGGGGTTCTTGTACTCCTGTCTTTCCTTTTATCTGTCAACCTGTTCTCTTTTTCCTTCCCCCTCTTCTTCTCCTTCTTCTGCTTCTTCTCCTTCTCTTTCTCATCACCACCGCCGAGTACGACTGTGAACTTATCTATCATCAATACAAGTCAACAAGACTAAGCATAGGGTCTCGTTTCTGTCATCAACACCACCATAGCCCTACCTCCGCCCCCAATCCCACAACACGACACGGTGATGGTACTCAAAACGTCCCGGCACAAGCTTCGCAGACACCACAGACACCTAAAGCATAAGGGTTAGGATTCCGCGCCCCATGGGACATCAGATATTCCGCTGTTTTCCTGGCAAGCTACCCTGCCAATACCATCTGGTGCTTGCGATTAATCCGGCGTAGCCAGCTTACGGCGTTTTCTACAGCTATAGAATCATCTCTCACGAAAGAAACCGTCCTGGAATGGACCGGCGCAGCCTCAGTTGACTGTCCCATTGGTTCTCATATATACTCTATCCCATTCGTGGATGCCCCTTGATTTCGCTGGGCGTGAGCTGAATATAAATGGCCGACAACTGAACTGGCCGAATAGAAACCGATTTATACTGCAGACCCATCCTGAGTTTGGTAGGAACTCTACTAGCGGTGCCGACAACTCTATGGGCCATGTGACCTTATTTGGAGCAAAAGCTCTCGGAATAAGCAGAAGAGCCAGCAACATGACCCATTGAATTGTCGGCATCTCAAGTACAACATATGCGTTTAGGGTTAGGGTTCCTTCTACAGAGGTTTTCGTACCTTGTATGAGGAGTTCTACTTGCATACAAAATCAGTTTCGCCCAAGCCACGAACTGAGCTGGATCAACTAGTGAGAGAATAAAACCGAACTGGATTGTTTTGTCAGACTGTTCAAGAAACCCGGTCAGAATCGGTAAACCGAAGAACCGTTAGAAACAATGAACTCACAGCACCCTCCCGAACACACTCTTCGCCCTGACCAATCAAGTATCTTACATGTTTTGTCTTCCCTGGTGGTTTCCCTGACTCCGCTGTGGATGGGGATTCCTTGCCGGCAACCACGACTATTGGGGCCAAGCTGAATGCTCCACGACTACGGCGCACGCATATATCAGTTTATCTAGGCTTTTGTTTTCTTCTTTTTTATTTAATTCATTAATTGCATTCAGACTCAGGCGATAGATAGGAATATCCCATGGAACATCGAGACATGAGGACTTATTGATATTACTATTGACGTTAACGTTATATTACTACTATATGGTCTACCTGCCTTAATCTATTCACGACTATGTTACCTAGTCTTCTCCAGGCCTTTGATTCTGTCTCCTCACGCCCCTCATCATGCCATCATATCTCAGATATTTTCTGGCATAGCTTGCACCTACGGGACCATGTTGCCACATCTTCATCCCGCGGTCTAAAAAATGATTAGAGTAACCTTCGTTTCATAACATCTCCGGAGCTGGACTGGGTAGTAATATAAGCCCGATGAGTGCTTGGAAACCAGATTATGGTGGTATCGAGACCCAGTCCAGTTCGGGAACATTATGAAAGAAAGGGTCACAGTTATGTGTGGGGGGCTTGAACAGCTGTTTCTATGATATTAGGCCAGCAGAGCTTCATAACGAATAGGGCAAACCCTCAGGCCATCAACTCCCAGGTCATTGGTGTTCTGACCAAACGAGAAAGACATCCTAGCCACCATATTTATACCTCGGACGACCGAACCGGCAGGGTAGCTGGTTCGGGTGCCTCAGGACTGAATGGGATGGTGTTTTTCACTTCTGTCCGATACAGTTCACGCAAATAGTAAAACACAAAAGTCACGTATCGTTCTAGAAGATGAACAACACCCATCATGCGGATGTTCACCTGCCAAGACATAGAACCACGGTTGAACGGTTAAACCGGTTCAAACTCTCCAGATAAATAGTTGGTCCAGTTAGTACAGTTTGACCTTGAGGATCGAGTAGTCGGTGCGGTTTTGTCTTGTACCAGAACCGGTTTGTGCCGTTGGAAACCCCGGCATTGCTGTATTCAAAAATCATGGGACCACGCCCAAAGCACACCAAAATATCGAATTTTTGCAGCTCCACCCTGGCATCACCACGAATGGATATACTTTGAAATTAATGCCATAGGTTATGGAGTGTCTATATTGCCCATACTCAGACTTTTGTCCAAGAATCTCGAATTGCCTGTGCTGTAGCAAGTCGGAAGGTTAATTTAGGGACACCCAAATTCCAACCACCACTGCACGAGATTCTTTACTACCGACACACCAATTATATATTTTTTGATAAAAGCACGCATTTGGATTCTCTCAAAGATTCTAGAGGTCGTTTAGGTAGCATGCCTTTGAACAAGAAACACTGATACTAGCAAGATTTCGGCTACCAAAAAAGGTTGGATATATAGAGAGCTGTATCTAACTAACGAATTCCCACTTTCCCCGACGACACGCGGGTACAACGCCACTACCGATCTCGCGTAACCTGCATGCGCACACCCGCATTCGGAGGAGGGTGTGTGACAGCAGGATTGATATAGTTAAGGCAACCAACGAAAGGTAAGTACTCCAGCTCCAGTTCTTCCCCACAACACCGCGGCGTAATTAGTTAGCCTTCCCACTCCACCTGGCAGCTCTTTGGCCTGGCGAATATATACATATATATATATACTGGACGAAAGGAAAATAAAGAATAATTTACTCTCGACCCAACTAACCGACTCGAAGATGTACACACTCCGGTTCCACGAAACACTGGAGGGGGGCTCATCGATGTATCCCCCTACAACCCCGCCTACCGCCCACGGGCAGGCGCTGGGCCCTGAAGCTGAGCTTAACACACACTCATACATGGGCGGCTGGGGCTACGCTGCAGGGGGTGCGGCTTCCATATTCAGCACCCGCAACACTAACCCACTATTTACCTCCGGGCATCCGTTCCTCGGCCCCCTGGCTCAGCACTCGGCCGTCGCGAGATCTGCCATCACCTGGGGAGTACCGATGCAGCAGCAGCCGAGCCAGCTCCTCTCTGGGACAGCTATGGCAACCGTCTCGTGGCCCCATACCACGGTCTTGTATGTCCAAGATATCCATACTGCAGTTCGTGAGCTCAGGCATGCCCAGGCGAACACTGCCCCCGATTTCCTCAAAGTGTTCAACCGGGGGTGCCCTTCACCGTTGGCTTCTATTCACTGGGTTGACGGAAACACGGTCAGTTGGCCCCTCCCCCCCTCCTCCCTGTAGATACCATCTCCTCCAGGCTCCCGGCGCTCACGAAACCAGAGACACCTCCGAATCTACACTATAGACAGCCAGAACACGATTCGAGAGGCCGGCCACAGCAGCAGCAACCCCACATGGTCCGCCTGGGAGCTAGATCAGATGAGGATCCGACCACTCCCCGAATCCAAACTGGCCAGCGTCATGGTCCCGGGCGCCATCCATCTCTACTACCAAGACGACAATGACCGCATGGTGTACTACCAGCGACTCAGAAGCAACCAATGGAGATGGAGCGAGGGTCTCACCCTCCCCGTCTTCACCAACGCCGCCCCCGGGACGCCCATCGCCGCCGTCGCATGGGGGGATCTCAACGTCCGGCTGTTCTGCCTCGACTCTGGCTGTCGCATATTCCACTGCAGCTTCGCGGGGAGCATTCTGGGGTCTGGTCGGTGGACGATGGAGTTGGTGTGCGTAAGTGTCCGGGAGGACTCGCCGTTGGCGGCTATACAGTGGACCGATAACCAGGTGATTACACCCTTAATTCCACACCTTCGTCCATGGGCAGGGAGGGGTAGTAGGTACTGACTGTGGCGCCCCCGGGAGGGGGGGGGGGGGCCGACACTAGAACGTATCCCATGTGCGCGTATATTATATCGACCGCTTCGACGGTATCCAGGAACTCTGCTGGGACAACTCGCGGTATCGCGTGGGCTTTCTGAGCCGTTACCGGGTGCTGGCCGCGCCGGGGAGCTCGCTGGCCGCCACAAGGGACGGTAACTCGATACGTGTTTTCTACCAGGCGCCGGGAGACGAGGCTACGATTTGCCAGCACGTCAGTAGCCATATCAATCCCAATTCGTGGAGCCCTGGTCCTGCGCTGACACCGCGCGCCGACTGATGAGGGTGTCGTGGTTTTCGAAATGGAGTAGTAGGGACAGAGTGGCGGACTTATGTAATGGCCACAGTTGCCACTAGTTAAGTGGAGTATATTACATTAGGCGAGGAGCTTCTCTCCTTGAGATCATCATCAATGGCAATAGTTATTTACACACACTTCACCCACCCACTAACGGAGGGTGGTTGGGGCGTTGTTTTCTACTGAGGCCAGCTCCAAAACGGGCCTTTAACTTAATTAGTAGTTAGTACAGTTCTTATATATGAGGGCGGTGGCATTACCGGTAAGCTCGCGTGAAAAAGGTTATTTAAACACGACCACCTTTGACTGACCGTGCTGAGTGGATCGTAGTAAGTTCTCTATCCAATCGTTCATCATGATGGAATACGGTAGAGAAACTCTTGTCCTTTCCTTTCATGCAATAAACCCATCATGCAGCGGATATGTCATGCAGCGGACCTCTTGATAGTGTATTTCCTCTATCTCCTTTGTCCGCATTTTCTATTTCGTCTCATGTCTTCGTCCTGTTCAGCTTAGGTATTAGCAGCGTACTTTCAATCAAGCAATATCATTTCTATCACATCATGCTCTTAGGATGATTGAGCGGCCCCGGTACAAGCATTACTCCTTTTCAATAAAAATCCGTTCATGGGAGTGCATCTATATTTAGAAGTAGCGATTGGCACTGAATAAGTTTAGAAGAGACTTGTTTCCATGGTCCATGGACCATCCAAACAGGTCACAGGGGTTGACGCCGAAGAAGATCAGCTTTAGGTTTAGAAGAGCGCATCGGAGCAAGGGAATACTTCACTAGTATTTTGTGTTCTGGCCCATGCACGGAACGCGCCCCGTAGAGAATATGTTCGATGAATAACGCATGTCACCCACCTTATAAGCAAATGATAATTCTACAGCTGCAGGAGAACCGAGGGTGAAAACGTCATATATGGAGTCCCTGCTAGTCATAAGATCTTTACTTCAAGTCCGGAGATATAGCCGGTTCTAAGTAACAATAATGATGATAAATGTTCTCGGTCATATCTAGATTTGGTCTAGCTAATATGTCCTCGAACCAAGACGTGTGACTAAGCTACTCTAGACTAGGGTCCGACAGGAGATCTACCCCTAACCCTAGTTAAGCACTTGTTATCTTAAGAAGAGGCTAGTCTGGCTTTAGGACCACCGCATGTTGTCGTTATGACAAGTGGCATGCGTTGATTGTACTTAAGAACGGAGAGGGGCCAGATTTCTCCTCTTCCCCTGACCATCAATACAATTAGCTATTCGCCCAACTTCGTCTTCTACATCAAGTCTCATTCTGACATCTCGAGAGCAACCTTGAATTTTCATACCGCCTGTTATGTTTGGTGTTCGCTCTCCCAATGTTCGCTTACCTTACCCCCGGCGCATCAGTTATGGTGGGCTTTAGTTATGTTCTTCTATCTATTACGGTCATTGGCAGTGTTGCTCAGTAAAAGAGCCGTGCGTTTAAGCAAGTCCCTTGAAGTACATACATAGTACGTGGAGATAAACTGATGTATTTATTTTGATGAAGGAGAGGTGGATCTTCCTCTCTACCCCTTTGCGAAGCAACTTCTAAAGACACATCTGTACTGACAAGTCTGAGCGGGGGACCCGATGACGTTCGCTGTCCGGGGCTAAGCGATCAGATCACAGCTAAGCCTTTACCCTTCTCCTATCCTATCTATCTCATTCTCTCCTATCTTCTTCTGTTTATCTTCTTTTTATCATATCTGATCAACGGTTTGGGGCGAAGAAGGAGTACAATAGATTTGTTCTGTCCTACGTGGTTCTCGGAGACAAAGGCTCAGGCTCCAAAGATAGAAAGAAACCAAGCTTGATCGATGATGGGATGATGAAATCAGGAGAGAAGAGTCGAGGCATGAGGAAAATAAGTCTGACTACATCGCATACGGTTTCCTGCTGTGACCTATCCCAACCTACACTGCATCTAGCCGCCGTCTCCCTACCCCCGCCACCCGGCCTGCGCCACAGGGGTTAACGTACGACTACATACCTCATCAATAGTACAAAACCTCCGATTACAGAACGACCATCATCCAAAATCGCTATAAACTCCCCGTCCCCAAGCCCCTCCGCGTAATCTAGTGCACTCCTCCCCTCCTCAATAAGAGACTGAATATCCGCTCTTTTTTCTCTTTTTAACGCCACAAGGGCCTTACCACTGCCCTCAACAGCACAAAACGGCAAATTCCTGAGGTCAATAGTTTTCCGGCGCAGTCTTCGTTAATGGGACGTGTCTGGGGGCTTGAGGTTCTGCGCGTATGTGACCTCACATGCTCCGGGCGCTCACCTAGCAGGCTACGTCCAGCCTATGCGATCGGGGGATTTCAATTAATTCGTCGTTACCAGGTTAAGGCACGTTGTGCCGTTCAGCAATCATCTCTCAGAAATTAAGCCATCCCTTAGTCAATTGCGTCTCCCAGTGGTCGGCATTGTATTTATTCTATCCCGCTCGCGGATGCTGCCCTGCCACCGAATGTTGTTTTGGTCGATATTCACAGGTCGCCTGTCGATCCAGGGGGATCAGTCAATAGGCTAATCCATTGGAGAATCTCTCCCAGCGGACTGATACGTTTACCAGGATTGCGACTTGCCGGTTTGACTGAAAGTTCAGCGAGATTACATATGTATTATTTCGCAAAGTGGGGGCGCAAAGTGGGCCTGAACTGGATCCAAAGAGTGAATAAGGCCAATGCTTCCTTCTGCCAAAGGGATATAGGCAATTGAAGTGTGAGTTTGGAGAGCACTTTTCTCTACGAGGTACTTTACTACGACAATCTTTGAGTAACCGCGTAACTGCACTGGGAAGGAAACCTTAAAATGGATTATATTCTGTATGCACCTTCTTTGATGCAGACCTTGACTGCTCAGTAGTTACTCATCATCAGTGGATAAGCACCTCCCGAGGTCTACAACAAAGAAGGACATAGGGAAAAAATCACCGAAATGTCGGATCCCTCCGGATTGTCAGTCTACTGCGGAAGTCACGATTCCTCTGAATTGTCATGACAGGTGGGTGAGATCTCTCAGTGGACCAGTCCACTGAGAAATCTCCCCGGATAAGCGACGTCTCTATTTGGCCCAGAGAATTGATATCCCATCTAAAGGACACTTTGGATATTATATTTTCGATGTCTGCTGAATCAGTACCCTCCTCTCAGGATATTTTGGAGGATAACAGAACTCGTCGTACATCTTACAGATATGAGGGCCAGCACTCCGAGATTTGGGGATCGTTCGGTAATAGCCTAAAATGACGTTTAAAGGGTAAAACCCCGCCCCAATGACCTGTTTGCTCGCGTTGTCCGCTGAAAACGGACCCTTAATTGCGAGTGATCGGGCGTTGCAACGTATGCAGGCTCAATCCAGTTCAAACACCTCAACAATTAAAGACTACACTGTGGAGTAACATCCCCACCCTGACCAATATATCACAGCAAAACCCACCACAACTGTACCACCGCAGGGGCCGGGTCTTGCTGGAATTATTGGAGAGGTGTGAGCGGGAGATGTTAGCAAACCACAGATATTGAGAGCCGTTTCGCCAACTAGCGTGAGAGGTGTTAATACTAAATGGAAATAGCGAAGAGCGCCCTGCACGCATTATGGGGACCTTGGCCTGCATTGTATGAGGAATACTTGTAACTAATCGTTCCAAGTATTGGTATTCAATGTTCTTAAGGACATATTCTTAAGCACGGCATTCAAAAGGTCATATGTCATACTCATATGACCATGAGGTCTTAATATCGCTCCGAAACAATTACTATGCGGCCAAGCTCCCTCACCACGTGCACCTAGTCCTCTCCAAGCCTTTCTGTTACCGACTTGTGCAATCCAGTACATGATAGATTTCATAACGTTTTCGAACTGGACAGGGCCTGCATATGGGGCCAATTCCTGCTTGACAACCAGATCAAGGTGGTATCCAGACCCAGCACATTTCGGGAAACGTTCAGAAGTAAAGGTCAATTACAAGTCGGAATTGTGTATGGTGATATCTACAGCTGTTTGCATAATATTAGGCCCAGCCGAGTGCAATAGCACAAGGTTTATATCATCGGACTGTTGCCTCTCTAGACAACTCAGATAGCGTCATTAAGCAATCTCGCTGAAACTATAATTTAAGATACCCGAACGCGTATCTCCATTTGCTTATTTGCTTCTCCTCCTTGACTTTGCAAGATTTGTTCTATGTGTATATATTGGTGTTTGGTTGAAACTAATTTCAGCTTGGTCCATTACTGCGCAGCTTACAAACCCATCGTCGATTTGGCATGCTGTTGTGTGGGTGGGATGCAATAACTTTCCACACCATGCGACGCCACAATGCGCAATATTTCGCATTGAGAGGAAGGCCTGTGACACAAGGAGAGATCGAGATATAGGTTACCAAGCTGGATAGCTCTCCTACCATAATCTCGCGGCGCAGCACCCATCCACATCTGTTTCCTGAGGATGTTTGAGTGATAATCACAGGAAGGGCTCTTTTTTCGTCAGAGTATATAAACCCCGCCTGTTATTCTCCACTTCCCCTATATCTGGAAGCTCTTTGACCTAACGAACAATTGGAAGAAAAACAGTTCATTTAATTCGACCCAATCCACTCCATAATGTCTACACATCAGTCCAACGAAAACCCCTACGGCACCAAAAATGACGATGAGATGTCCTCTGACCCATCCATGTATCCTCCTACCGACGATGAGGGGGAGCTAGACACTCTTTCCGACCCAGCAGTAAACCCATCTGACGCTGACCCCGACGTCGAGACACTCCCATACCCGCGGGGTAGGTAGTACTTGAAGCGGGGTACTTAGAGAACTCACCACCCTACGCCACTTGTATATGCATATATGAGATTAACCAAGTCATGGAATACCGCAAAATCTCGAGTTATTCGGGGGGTTGACAAAGCCACCTGCTAAACTACATTTAGTTTAGATCCTGTAAAAGAGGGCTGTTTTCTTGAAGATCGCTTCCTCTAAAGGTGAAGATCCTCAGCCCTTTGCCTTGGCAACCCCCCGAATAACTCGAGATTTAGCGGGTTTTCGTTATAGCCGGCCATCTGGACAGAAGCTCTTGAAATTCTTATTGGTTATACGACGTGCAAGGTTTTCTGTTCAAACTGCGGTTAGTGTTCTACCAAGTGTGATGCGAGTATAAGTATATGCAAATTTATGCAAATGCTGCCCTCCCACACCTACTCTCCGCGCTCGATGCGTCTCTTGGCTTTGGTGTTGGGAATTAAAAACGGGGGTGGTGAGGCTTGGCACGCGAATACAGGTTTTATCCCATACTCCGGCAATGCTGCCCCCCCTATAATACAGGAATTGAATTTGTATGGGAGATCTATTATTACAAGAGAGATAACATGCAGGATCTGCTAGTAAAGCCACAAACAATGTGCTTTTTCTGGGGGGGGACAGCATTTTGCGCGCCGGTCCACTCTAACGCCAGAATGGGTTTTTGAGCCTTATGTTAGGCTTATATAAGTATGATATTAGCCTTTTTTTGACATTTCGGCCTTATGTCTTTTTACAGTCCTTATTAGGCTTATATAACGTATTTTTGTAAAATAAGGCTTAATTATCTTTATTCGTTGGATGAGAATGATGGCCAGATACAAGTAGGTATATTTTTACACTTATTCGCCATAGTAAATTTCGGAAATAAAGTTTTTATTAATACTGTATTGAATATATACATCGGTTAAGACAATCTATTTAACCATCTAGCAGGTTTGCTTCTGTATGGGATAGCTCGGTGTTGATAAATACGTAGAGCGCGGTGTTACCGGCCCAGAAAGATGTTTACGCCAATCTGTTTTATCGTGATTTTCGACTATGCGCGACGGTTTCTGCTTTTATCTGTGCTTGGAATGCTGTGAGCGGTGTCAAGAGGTGCTGTCTTGTCGGCTTCTGTGCTGTCGATCGTGGTGATATGAGGTGCAGACGGTTAGATTGGGAAGACGAGTGATTGCTCATGATCGGATGTTTGTACGGACGTAGGCTGGTGGCGAATGTCGCTAGACAATCACTCGGTCCGACCCCGACCTTAAACCCCCGACATGCAGAGGAGATAATACCAACAACCGGCAGCGCGACCCTCCTATTTTTGTCGCGAAACCTTCTTATTTTGGTTGCGCAACCTTAATGAATTATCAATCAATCAATCATTGGTTACATAACCTCAGTCCGGATCATAGAATATCACTCGACCGACCCACTTACTACGCTCCGATTTTAATTCATTTGCTACGGTCCGACACCAACCGACGTCGACCTTACTGTCAGACAGCGCGCCTTCTCTACTTTCTATTATCCCCGATCAGCCACACTGCGCACTCTCCTCCTTCAATCCACCCCGAACTCACCATTGTGAACCAACAGATCAACGAGTAGTGCGGAAATACCTTGAAAGTGGAAACTGATCAATGAGAGAAGATGTCACCGAGAATTCGGGAATCTAATTAGGCTACAGTTACGCGTAAGAGCTATCGGCCTCCTTGAACAGGGGAGTGCCACCTCGCCAGCGCGGGTGCCATCTCGCCAGCGCGGGGTACTGCTTCTGCTTGGGAGTTGATGTAATTATATTAATGAAGTATCTGCAGAACTGTGAATACTTCTATCATTGGTGGTTGATCAAGAGAGGAGTGCCTATCTCGACTTATTAGAATTCCCAACGTACTCCACACCTAGCCTCTCGCTTAGCCTCCTATCTCAGCCACGCCTCTAGCCACAACATACTCGTGTCTACTATTATGAGAATACTACAATCAACTTGATTACCTACATCTAGTACATGCATTTATCCAGCCTCCACCCTCTCAATACTTTCTCCCAGAGGTACCCACCTCTTTAGTAGATTTCCACCTCCCCCATAGACGTCCAAGTTGGTTATCACTTCCCATAGGTGCTCATACTCCCACTCCTTCTTAATCAAGTTACCCACATCTCTCCGTAGATGTTCGCCTCCCCCGTAGCTAGCCAAACATGCAGTGTTTACTTCTTGTGGGTTTTCATTGCTTATTTAGCCGGTGTATAGCGAAACGTAATGTTTCTATACTGTGGTTCACATTTCGTTCGGAGGGATATATATATATTTTTTTATCCATCGGCAGCTGTAGTTTAAACACCTGGAACATTCTGTATCACCAACCATGCAAGAGCCGCTTATGTGAACGCAGAGAGAGATATATGAGCTGATTATTAATCAGCGCGGAGAGTGACGCTGAGAAGCGACGTGTATTAATCGAAGAACGCGGCTCTGTTGTTACATCTGAACAGTACTAGCACTTACCCTCAACACCCGGTACACTGGATCAGGCCAGTATGTGGGCGCACTGGTATTTACTCCCCACGGTCTTACATAAGTGTATAATGGATTTTGGAGACCTGCCTGAGTTCGGTTGATATGATCATTTTTTAATTTTTCCCCCTATGCCCCGGTCCCTACAATTGTATCGGTGCGCTTTCCAGTATTTAAGCTCTCCCCAATCTTTGGTGGGGTGGGCTGGTTGCAATCCCCGCCTTCCCTACTCACTTGCCCACTTCCATGGTATCGGAGCCTTCTTAAAGCTAGATGTTGTGTGGGGAGGTGGTGGCAACGTATCTTAAGCGACGGGATGATGTCACTTTGTATAATTAGGTGGCACTACGCGAGGAGGATAAACTGGGAGGAAAGGAGACAGGATCTTCTCTTCTCTTCAAGACTCGAACAAAGACTACAGTTCCATTAGAATCATGCAGAGCATTCAAAACCAACTGGCAGCTGTTTGTTACCGCCCCCTTCGCGCATGCATAAGGTCTGACCCCCTTTACCCGCCCACAAAGTGCCTTGTACTTGTTGTTTGAAAGAAACATATTCTTTTCCTACTAATACTTCATCAGAATCATCATGCGCATCCTAGGGAACCTGTCTGCTAGGTGATGGTTGGTATCCCGACTCGTATCGCTTGAGTTCAACACTTCGCGTAACGATAAAGAAGACTGGGGCCGGAGCGCAGTAATAGGCGGGAACTGTGGAACTGGGCCCAATTAAAGCTTGGTGTTGAAGGACCCTCTAGCGGAGTTACTTCATAAGGATTCGCACCAATTGGAGTTGCATTTGCAGCTACCCCAACCAGCGGTTATCAAGGTTTTGCAGAAACCTGTCTTCAATGCCGGTAGAGCCCAGAAAGGGAACAGAATTTATCTCAAAAAGATTTCGCGTAACGATGGCCTTCAGAAAGCCTTCAAATCGAGGAGATGGTCAAAGGTATCCGTGTAACGAAAAGCTTGCAGCTCGAGAAACCGTTCCGCACAACGTTCAGGTTCCAAACGGACCCGTCGCTAAACCGTTGATCTCATTGGAGCCTCAGCCTTCCTGGATCCCTGTAAGGTGCCGCCGACCACCTGCAGCATGACATCCCGGGAACGAACAACTCCCCGCCCGTTGCATTCAGCTCTGTGGCGAGAACTCACTATTGGCCGAACCTATTCGGAAGGGCGCGTCGCGACTAGAGTAGATACCCGCGCGGGTAACCCTGATCATATTTTAAAATGTCTATTTATCGGGCGATCCTGTGCATGGAATCTACTTCTTGGCTTCCTCACTTCTCTCCTGTCTCCTGTGTTTTCGAGTGCTGCTTCCTTCCACGTATACTTCTTTGCAACTCAATCACACGGTAACACTGCATTGTTTTATCAATTATTTCCAGCTACGCAGAAATTGAAAACATTCGTAATAACAACAACGACTCACGGCTGAACATCACTCGACTTAACGATCCTTCAGCAGAAGGAAGGAAGTAAATACTCCGAAGCAGCCATGGCAGGTTTGTATTAACTCTTGTACACGTGAGCTTCTTAGCCTTTACTCACGTCTCGATAGGATACATGGATCCTGATGATACTTATTCGAAGGTTGGGGGAGAATCGGGGATGACTTTGAAGAATGAAAATTACGGTGTTCAAGGTACTTTCCCTCGGCCCATAGGCGCTGGTGCTTCGAGCCGGTAGCCGTCACGCGTCTGTAATAGAACTGCGTAACTCACCATATGAACACTGAACATCTAGGACATGATCCGGGTGGACCTCGAAACGCGGCGAATAAACTACCCCCGCCTGGTATGATCTCCGGAGGACGTAACGCGCTTATAAATGGGAGAACCGGCATCCATGGCCAAGGGGGGCGGACAGTTGCCAAGGAATGTCTTATCGACAGCAGGGATGGTCTTATTAACTCAAAGCAATGTAAGCCTTCATTTGACATGTTCAGACTTTACCACCATCCTGACGAAGATCTACAATATCGCATAGACTTGATCGAAAAGCCCGCGTCTACACGCCCTACATCTCAGTCCTCATTGCAATACACTTCAAGAGGGAACATGTTTGCAACGATTGCGGTACCGGTCTTCCTCCTCTCATCCATACCCGTTGCACGCGCCGCTGATAGCGGCGACGACTTTACGAACAACCTATTCAGTGACCTCGCGCCGGTTCTTGCCTTATTTGGAGAACAGGTAGTTAAGCAGTTCATGAGCGAGTCCTCTGGCTGGGCGGACAACGTTCTTTTCGCCATGGCTCCTTTAGGTGTCATTACCGGTGTCGTGAGCGCGATCAGGGTAGCGGGGCATCCATGGCTAAAGGCACTCGTTGGACGGGCAAAGGAAGGTCTAGCTCAAGCAGAGCTTGAGTTGATGTCGTCAAATTCGCCAGATGTGGGCGAGATGTGGAATGGCCAAGCCGTCGTTCGGGTGCTGGGTAAACCGTCGATTTTCCAGTTCATATATAGTCCGGATACTATCGCTTCGGGCACCGCATCACCAAGCACCGTTGCCTCCGACCCGCCACCACAGACTCCACCGCAGACACCACCGGGAATACCACTACAGACGCTACAGGGAACACCACCACAGACACCACCGGGAACACAGCCACAAGACACCTCATCGCCAAGCGTGCCAACCGTATTGGATAGCCCTGAAGCAGGAGGCACTGCGGAATTAGACCTTACCTCAAAAATCGATATCTTGAGCGATAGTAATGCATTTTTCGAACGCCGAAGAGCGGAACCAGCTCCCGAACAGCCGAGTGATCGAGGTCACGAATGGCACGACAATATTGATATCGAGATGCGTCCACTCCTCCGTCTCGCTGGGGAACTAGCTGATCCACAAGAAATAAGTAACGAGGACAATCCACCAAATATCTCCCTTAATGCAAGAGGGAGGCTTATCGGTGACCGCGAGAAGTGGTCAATGGCCGCTCTTGCAGTCGCAGCCCAGCTCGCAGTACTCATTTTTGACTACTTGATTTCCTATCATCCGCGCTTAAAGACTCGATTTTTGAAAGACGGCGTAAGTCCATCTCCGCAATCCTTTCCATGTACGATATTTGGAACTGTATGTCTCAGTCTGGGCATGCTTGTCTGTTCCTACGTCGTCGACTCTGCCTCCACGGAGGAAACCTGGGTTCTCAAGGACAAAACCTCCAACTGTAAGGTGGCATGGATACAAATGGGAGGGACCGTAAATGATCAAGAGTTTTCCCCCTATCTGATCTTTGGGCATCAAGGCCAGCAGAAAATCAGAACGTCCCATCGTTGCCATCCTAGAGGCCAGTCTAAGCTACGGTTCTGGGTCCTGGTATCCACGTGTGCCAGCATAGTCGGCTTTGTTACGCAATTCATAGGCCTAAGAGGGATGAATTGGGCAGCTACCATTGCGCAGCTAGCAGCTACTGCCTTTGTGACTGCCCTAAGGTCTTTTGCCCGCCGGCGGATGTCAAAGGAGCCTATCGTCTCAAGAGCTGTGAAAGGCTACGAGCTGGACTGTATGGCTCGTAAAGTGAGCGATTGCCTTGGTTGGAAGGTCATTTCCGAAATTCCCTATAGTATTCCGGCGGAACAGCGTGATAGCTTTGCACATAGTGTGGTGTTGACGCGCAAGCGTCTGGGTCGTCTCTCGGGTTGGCCTGCAGATGTCCAGGACGTTGCAAATGCCCTTTGCGCTTCAATGGAACAAACTCTCAACTACGTCCACCAAACGAAGAACATGAAACTACGAAAAAGTGCAAGCGAATCCCTGGAGTTCCGGTTTACATTGGCAGCGCTCGCATTGAAGGAGGAACATCCCCCACGCTCTTCTCATGCTTCCACCTCCCCTCCGCTTCCTACCTCATCTGCTCCACCTGCAACCACGTCTCACCATTATACCTACTTGCCATTTCAGTTTACAAGGCCAAGCCTTGTGGAACAGTGGAGAATGAGCGACGATATGAGAGAGGAGATTTCCGCTGTTCTCTCGTTATGGAAACTGCACTCTGTCGAAGAGGAAAGCTTCTACAATAAAGGATATATTTCACCTGATGGAAAGGATTTAGATGATATCCAAAGAATAGCACAAGTCCTTCCATGGCCGAGTCTTGCTGTGCATCGAAGGGCATTCGGGCTATGGATGGGCAGGCACGATATAGAAGTAGTAAGGAAACATCCTCAAGATATTTCTAGGGACGCAGCTTCCCCGATCCCGATACACCGCATCATTGGTACATCTAGAACTGGGGAAGACCCACATGTGGCCATACATCCAAGCGAGTCAGTAAAGAAACTGTTTGCCCAGCAAATATTCTCGACGTTTCTTTCAGAACTTTTAACTTTCGTCAGCGAAACCACCGGGCCAGCAGGGCGAAATCTCGATCAGTGGAAGCTACAGGGGCTGCACCATGGCGCGACATCGCAGCTTGCGGGATTAATAAGCGAGACTGGTCTTGGAACCCGGGAAGAAATCCATATGCGTAAGTTTGATTTATTTCGTTTTATGCTCCCAGGTCCGACAATTGGGTTGAGCACACAAAATGCACTGTAAAGAGTGATTGAGAAGCGACAACAGGTGTCGCAGAGGCCGCATTCGGGTGTAATTCGAAAATATTCCAAATAGATGTGTTCGTTGGCGCTCTGTGGCGAATGTATCTCATAGTAGTTCAATTTACGGATAATATTCCCCCCCAATATACTACTATATCGTTTCCCCCTTTGGGAGGATTCAGATAGCTCTAATCCTTCCACTACCTTTCCCCCGCTATTTTCCCTTCTGGAACCGTTCATTTACTTGTTAATTGTTATATACAACAGTAAGGGCACTATCTAATTCCTCTTGCTATAGTTTTGATTACTCATTTCGGGGATCACAAACTTCTACCGCCACAAAGCCATCACGAAAGAGCACGCGAGGCGCATTTTCGTATTGAACGCGCCCTCAGAAAGTCTCGTCTTGATAATAAGTGGGATCTCACTGCTTCACATATCCTGAACCTACTCAGTGCTTACTCGGCACCCCAACATTCCTTGACTACCATAAAACGCGACAATTCAGTATTACTTACAATACTTGACGATTCTCCAACATCGCATATGAAAGTTGACGAACCTGATGTCGCGTGTATGGCGCGACGATTCATCACAAGATTAGCGTCTTTTCTCGATCCGGCGGAAGGAAACCATCTTAAACGACCCAACCACTCAAAGGCTTTATTCTTGCAATGGTTGAGGGATATTGACCTCAATACCTTAAACTCACTTCCCTCACCCGCTCCTGTAAAAGAATGGGAGCTTGAAGATACTCCTATAATCGATGCGCTGATTGGTAACGCCAATAAATACCTGGATCCTAAAGATTCCGAGAAAGCTACCATTTTACTAGAGAAATTTATCAACTTTGAGAAAAAGGGCGATTTGGCAGATCCCCATTGTTTGACGTGGGAGGAGTTGAAACCCTTAAGGAGGCTTATGGATTCTCAGGATGAGGCGGAAAGAGTGGCGATTATGAAGGAAGCAACCAAATGTGGATATGTCTCAGTGCTTGAAGCATTGTTGGACTTTAGCCCAAGCCTACAACATCCAGAAAGTAATTCGTTGGTCATAGCATCCGCAAGAGACGGCCCCACCATTTACCACTTCTTGACCCAGCTTTTCTGGTATTTTCCACCTGAGTACCGCCAGTTCCAGACAACGCAACAACCGATGCTACTATTTAAGGCCGTGGAGATCGGTGACCGACACCTCACGAGAGAACTAGCAAAGCACAGTATGCCCGAGTCAGCAGATCAATATCGACAAACATGTTTGATTCTAGCCGCGTGGAATAATCACCAGATAATTGTAGAGGATTTATTGGAAGACGGTGCCAAAGTTGACGGCTGTGTGTTTGGCCGTTATAACAAGGCTCTGCTGTTAACCAGGTTCAACCACCGAGATGAATGGTTGCGGCACGAGTGGATCACTGATAGCTTTACGAGCTACGTTAATAGCAGTCCGAAATCGACAGAAGTAGTAAAAGGGCCACGACCGGGGAGCGGGGCTAAGGGAGATTATCGTGGCGTCGTTGAGGAGTTTCTGGGAACGGGAAATATTCCTATGGCAATTGCTGCAATCTCAGTCCGAACAGCACTACAAGCGGCAGCAGAAAGGGGTCATCTTTCCATGGTTAGATATCTCGTCGAAAAAAAGGAAGCCAATGTTAACACAGGACACTATGGGCAATCCTGGCGTTCGGCCCTGCAGGCAGCGGCAGGGGGAGGCCACCTTCAAGTCGTGGAGATGTTGATCAAGGCCGGGGCTCAAGTTAACAAGCCAGCATGGGGATATTCGGGGCGAACAGCATTGCAAGCAGCCGCTGAATACGGTGATCTCAAGGTGGTAGACCTATTACTTGGGCACAACGCGAAAATCATTCCAACACCTACGTTTTCTCCCGACGGTGGGCTATCCGCATTAGCAGCAGCTGCAAAAGGCGGCCATCTAGCGGTAGTGGACCGACTACTCGAGCGCATCCTCGTGAATGGCAGTTTAAATCCAGAAGAGTGGGATCTGGGCTCAGCGTTGATTGCAGCTGCGCAAGGCGGCCATCTAGCTGTGGTGAACGGACTAATCGAGCGTAACGCACCTGTCGGGGGGAGCGCCTCCATGTCCTTTGGACGAACTGCGTTGCAAGCAGCTGCTGCGGGTGGAAATCTACAAGTCCTGGACCGCCTACTCGCGCTCGACTCAGATATCAATGCAGCGGGTTCTGGCTACGGCGGTCGAACAGCATTGCAGGCGGCGGCTGGCGGTGGCCATTTAGCAGCAACGAATTGGCTACTCGAGCGCAATGCAGATGTCGACGCACCGGCCTCTGACTCTGACGGTAGAACAGCCTTGCAAGCGGCGGCTGAAGGTGGTCATTTAGCAGTAGTGGAGCGGCTATTGGAGCGCAGTGCAGATGTAAATGCAGCCCCCGCCAAGGATAATGGAAGAACCGCACTACAAGCAGCTGCTGGCGGTGGCTATCCAGAAGACGTGGACCGAGTACTCAAAGTTGTGGACCTACTACTCGACCGCAATGCAGACGTCAACGCACCGGCTTCTGATTCCGGCGGTCGAACAGCCTTGCAAGCGGCGGCGGCAAGTGGTCATTTAGCAATAGTGGAGCGGCTACTGGAGCGCAGTGCAGATGTCAATGCAGCTCCCGCAAAGATTCGGGGACGAACTGCTTTGCAGGCTGCGGCAGAAGGCGGCCATCTCGCAGTCGTGGAGCTACTACTGGCGCGCGGTGCAGATGTAAATGCAACTCCCGCCGAGCATAGTGGGCGGACTGCTTTGCAGGCGGCGGCTGGAAACTGTCATTTGGCAATAGTGAATCTGCTACTGGAGCGCGGTGCAGATGTTAATGCAACCCCCGCCAAGGACAATGGGCGAACTGCTTTGCAAGCTGCTGCGCAGGGCGGCCATCTGGGAGTCGTGGACCTCCTGCTGGAACACAATGCGGATGTCAATGCACCGGCCAATAAGTTCATGGGTCGAACAGCCTTGCAAGAGGCTGCTGAAAATGGTCATCTGGCAATAGCGAAGCGACTACTGATCGAACACAACGCAGACATCAACGCGGCTCGTGCAGAGATAGAGGGGGTATCTGCCCTAAACGCTGCTCAAAAAGGGCGTTACGAGGACATTTATAATGTATTCACGTCGTTTGGTGCGCTTTAGTGCCCATGTCTTATCCCAATTATTTGACTATCCTAGTAGTAAGTTCAGCATTCCACTGATGGTTCAATCTCCGTTTTGTATCTCTAGGGCTGCCCTCCACTCCAGCCGAATTATTACTGATAGTAATTGGATTGGTAGGTTATATTGCATTTTACAAGATGGGGATGGGATAGCTAGATTATAGATAGTACTTGGCTCTATACGTGGCGCGCAGTGTTCCGATAATCTGCGTTATCCGTCATGTTTCTCTCTACCTGTAGCATTCTGCCTACATCTCCTAATTTGTCCACAGGCGAGAAACTACAACTGTTTTATTGAGAAACATTCGTTTACCGTGTCGAATATTTGTTGCATGTATCGGTAAAGCTATTTGGCTGTTTTGTCTTTTTCTATCGGTTAGCGTTTTTAGCAAGTTTGCAGTCACCTTATGTAATGTTTCTTATGTTCTGTCAATGAATGATGATGTATTCAATGCGTTAGAATAGACCTGGGAAATAGAACTAAACATGAGGCCCATTGATATTTATGCAACTCTTACAGTAACTAAGAACTGAAGAGGTCATCCTTGACCTGGACCGATATCTACGAACCGTTAATGCGCAGGATTTCTGTTGAAACATCAAGCGGCGCGGTAGCTGCCAAACGAACTAGGTCAATGTCTTGAAACTACATGTAGAACCAGTGAATCCAACGGCGTATCAATCTAGCGGTGTAAACCGGTTTAGATATTAATGATAGTGAGATAGTTGGCTGGGACGGGCTTGAACCCAAACCGGCCCAAACCATATCCGGATATATCCAGGGGCTGATCACCATATATCACTCGGAACCATTAACTCTTGGCGACACCCAATATTCTGATTGGCGAGATCATGTCAAAGCGATTATTAACATTACATAGCATGTAAACCGTGCAAACAGTAGAAGAACTTGTATTACCCAAATGGTAATGGTACGGTTCTCTGATAAACACGAATCGGTTTGTATCATTGGACTGTTGGTGTAACAGTAGAACCGGGGTTTCCATGCCATGCCTGCAGGGTATAGTTGTACCTGCGTCGTTACGTCATCGCGATCTCGCTTATCGCTTATCGGTTATCCCTTATCGCTCATGCACGTGCTGAAGCAGCTTGAGCCGCACTGCAGATCTTGAACATCCTTCAGCCGCATGTCTTGTATTAGTGTTTTGGCCACAATGTGCGGGATCGAATAGGGTATCCCATCACTGGGGACGTTCGAACCACGATACTCGCGCTGAATGTATGATCATAGGGTTACGGTTCCATGCGCAACATTATAAAAAATAAATTACCAAAGATACCGCCAGCATCTTTATTATGATTAAGATATTACCTTAAGAGCTGGGCTTTCTCAATTCAAGCAGAGGAAGGAGATATGGCCAACTCGACTCATCGGCCTCACTAGCTATTTATTTGTTTCCGTTGGTATTAAGGACTAAGAGGCCTCCGCGCCTGACTGCCTTCCTGCGCATGCCTGACTGCCTGCTTGCCTACCTCCGCGCGCTGCCTACATGCTAATTCGACGTGGATTTGGTGCACCGTCACGTCAGGCTTCGACTTGGGCGTAGATTTAGTACAACTAGTTGACGATTTGGTATTATATGACGATTTGGTATTATATGACGATTTGGTGCTTATTTGGTTTCGATTCGGGCATTGATTTCCGTCGCTTAGGAGTCTGTAGCAGCGTCAGTACAGGCGTCAAATACAGAGGTAGGTAAATACGTATCTAGGCGTCGATGTAGGTAGGAGGTAGGTGTCGAGAGGTAGGTAGGCAGCTAGGTAGGCGGGTGGACAGGCAGATTGCCAGCCGGGTGTCGAGGTAGGAAGCTATGTAGGGCTCGTACTATATAGGTTAATATATACCGGTTCAACATAAAAGGGTGTTCTGCTCCGTTGACTAAGATGCTGATTTTGTCAAGTAGGCGCCCTATCCGTCAAGAAGAGGAACAGATCGACACTTTGTCCAAATCCGTGGGGTCACGAAAAGGATAAGCAGCTGGCGTAAGTCGATGCAGTTTTTTTTTAAATGAACCGAGTGATATATATTATGATGCACTCGGACCAAGTTTGCAGTCTTTTTTTTTTTTTTTTTGGTTTAATTCATTAATTGCATGCAACCTTACAATTATGGCAATATCGCACTAAGCCCCTGAACTTCCCATATGCCTCCGCCTCCTCTCGCAAAAACCCAAAAACCAAACCCCCCAAGTTTGCAGTACTCTGGCACACCTACAGGTGCTGTGACACGAGCTGTTATAGCACTTAGTGCCATTTCTGTATTTGGAATCGACTGTAGTTCTCTCAAAAAGCTATAACAGCTCTGCCACGTCCCCAATAGCTAGCTGTACCAGAGCCTATGCTCGCCCTTGATGCTGTACCATGACACCAGGCGCTCTACCACACCTCCAGGAGCTCCGGGACCGCCTCTAGAAACGAATCATCCCATCTCCCGCCAATCAGGCTCTGGGAAACGAAATAACTGATTGATTTCTAGAGGATGTTGTCGAAAGTAAATATTTTTAGTTCATTTCTGTTGAAAACGATGACAGGCTTCGGTTGATTGCTTTCAGATAGTCGAGTGATATTCCACGATGCACCCCCGACCAGCTCGGATATCTCCGGGGTTGCGCTGGGAGGATTCCTGCGTTAGGTTAAGTGGTATGACCGTTCCCACATCAATGGATCCCTCAACCCTTCAATAATTGAGAGGTTCATATGTTGAGACCTTTTGCGATAGTACAACTTAAGACTCAAGGGTTCGCCAAATAACGAAGAGTTTCAAGGAGCATCAGATCAACGATGTTGGTTAGGGGAGCGATAGTTATTGATCCGCGAACTATCCTTTCGGAAAGTGTTCAGCCGCCGGTACTCCGACTTATAATGTACGAGTGACATTATAAGCTTGGCATAAATTATAGAGGCCTGCAACTAGACTATGGTAAGCCTTGGGAGTATGGTTGCGGATGCCAGTGCAGGAATAAATCTAGTTACTAGACTATTGTTAAAAGAGAGGCTTCATAACGACCACATTCCCTTAACCTCTTAAACAAACAAAAAAGAAAAAGTCAGTGAGGCGATAGTATCGAGTGATAGTTCATGAACGACCGCATCGTACATGTATTCCCATTTTGGAGGCAGTTGACGACCACCGGTAACCGACGAGCCACACTAACCCCCCCGTTAGATGAATAGGCACGCGACAAAGAGACATCTTTACCGTTATAATATTCCTTGACAGGAATGGGGTTCTGGAACTCATAAGGATCTGAGTGCACTATCGCTACCGTGATTAAGGTGTTCCCAGGGCAACAGGAAATGATTGATTATCAACAAAAGCGGAATTCTAATGACGGCACTGGAGCGACAGGGCAGTAAACGAAAAAGGAAAGGGAGAGGGTGATGGAGAAGACAAAAGAAGAATTTCGCGCTATCGGTGATCGTCGATCTATACTTTATACCTACTTAACTGACAAGTACGACTTCTCTCAAACCAAACCCAAACCGGCTTGGTGGGGTTTTATTAAATCGGAAACAACAAGGCCTTTGTTGGGCACTTCGTGATACCAGCTTTTGTGTTAGGGCCTAGGGTTCACCTCCAGAACTACCAGCGGGTGCGGTCACAAACCGTCACCCGCACGCACCCACAGTCCCTATCCTATTTTCCCGCCCGCCTATTACCTGTACTGCCCGCCTATAAAAAGGTCCGATTTTTGTATGTTGTAATACAGGCAAGCAAGTTTATTGACGCTCACCACACTTTATTAATTAATCTTTCACGTGACAGACAACGTCTGGTTCTGTGGTGTGCATCAATAAACTTGCTTGATTTAATCTAAATACAAAAATAGACCCTTTATATAGGCGGGCAGTACAGGCAGTAGGGCGGGCAGGAAAATAGGGTAGGGACTGTTTGTGCGTGCGGGTGACGGTTTGTGACCGCACCGGCTAATTTATCAGGAGTACGAACCCTAGGCCCTACCACAGTTCGAGACAAGACATATCACTGTCAATGCCGGAAGGAAAAAAAGATGAATGATTTTGTTTTAGCTATGGTTAAAAGAAGAACTACATGTAGATAAGGGTAATGCGCTATTAAAGCCGGTTATACATATGGTTAAGCGCACCGACGAGCTATCAAACCTAAACAATGTTAGCGTTAAGAATCGGGATTGAAGAGAGGATCAGCCGATGATTATCAAACCAGAAGCTTCAGGCCTGAGGCAGCTCCGAGTGCATGGGTGAATCCAAAACCCCTAATGATATATGTGTGCCTCGCTTAGCAGATAACTAATCGCTTTCCCATAGTCCAACAATAAAGTGATCGCAATTCATGTGAGTATCCCTTGGGCCTGTGAGACACGCAGATTCCAGGACTTCCTACTTATGCGTGGTTTAGTGATTAAGCATCGGGCTCAGTGACTTTGCCACTGAAAATCAATACTGAGACAGAAAGTCCTGGAATCTGTGTGTCTCACCGGCCCAAGGGATAAGGGTGAATCCCGGCAATCGGGCTTGTATTCAGCTACATTCACTTTGAATCCACGAAAGATCTAAAACAGATATGAGCCCCGAACGCCCTAGAGGGTGTACTCGGCATCCTGTATAAAGATAATGATGGTTTTGTCCAATTCCGAGATGTCAAGTAATGAGGATACCAATTCCGTACGAATTTACCCATATAAAAAAATGATGTATTAAGAGATGCATTTACATAATTGTACCTGCGTCGATACGTCATCGCGATCTCGCTTATCGCTTATCGCTTCTCCCTTATCGCTTATGCACGATCGCGATAGGTACCGCCATAACTCGAAAAATTGGCTAGATCAAAATTACTTGTACGGGAAACTTCTGGTGCAGATCGATGCCATTCAACCAATCACTCAAGTGGCAATCCCTGGACGGAGATAGCCAATTTTTCGAGTTTTGGCGGTACAGCGACTGGTAGAATTAATGCGGAGACAGGGGGAAGCGAGCGCCGTGGTGGGCCCTGGTGGCAACAGTGGAGTGAACGATCCGATTGGTTGGTTCTGACAACGTAGTAAGTTCTGGCGAGGCCGTAGACGTAAAGGTTAAGCAACAAGATGGTGACCGTCAGAACAGCTGACATTAGCTATGGGAAACGCTGCTACATCCAAGGCCTTCGAAGGGCTGGATGGACGTATGAGAAAATCGCAAGAGATCAATCAATACCTTATGGGACTGTGGCCCAAATATGTACCACTCCTTCTGCTCCTCAAAGAAAGAACAGATGCGGTCGCAAAGTCAAACTTGATACTCCTACCCGTCGTCGCCTAGTATTTACAGCAACCTTAAACGCCGAGAACCGCTGGAAATCCCTATCAGAAATAGCACAATTAAATGGTCTAAATGTATCGGAAAAGACCGTGAGGTAAGCCTTTGCAAAAGAGGGTTACCACCGTCGGTCTGCTCGCAAAAAGCCATTTTTGAAAGCAGAGCAAAAAGAAAAGAGACTGCGGTTCGTACTTGCACATCAACATTCGACTAAGCATGACTGGAGACGTGTAATTTGTACTGATGAGTGCTACATTTGGCTCGGAGGTATCCATAATAGTGGAAGGGTATATGTTACACGTGCAGAAGGGGAGGAGTAGTTGGACGACTGTCTTATACCAAAATTTAAAAAAGAGAACTCAATCATGATTTGGGGGGGTGTTCTGGGTTGAGGAGTTAAAAAATCAATTGTGGTTTGGAAACGGGAAAATTGGGGTACTATTACCGCAGAGACATATATCAATTACATTTTGCGTCCAGTCATTTGGCCCATGTGGTATTGGCAATGTCAATGGCAAAATAATGGCCATTCACTTTGGCTTATGGAGGATGGCGCAACAGCTCATACAGCTACCATAACAAAAGTAAGTATCCCATACTCATTTTACAGAAATATATACTAAAACTAGATAGGAACACCGGAAATATTACAGAATACCATCATTGTTATGGCCACCATCGTCTCCATATTTAAATCCTATTGAAAATATATGCAATGTTCTCAAAAACAGGATTCATCACCGGAATCCAAGGCCCAAAGGTAAAACTGGGTTTTTTTTTTCCTTTTTTCTCGTTCAACTCATTAATTGCATGCAGGTAAAACAGAGATGAAGGCGGCTGTTCTAGAAGAATGGGAGAAAATTACTGAGGAAGAAATCTTAAGATATGTAGATAGTATGCCACAGAGGATACAAGATGTAATAAATGCGGCTGGGGGTCATACTCGTTGGTAGAATTGGTATTCGACCTCCACCGTCAATTTTTTTTGATATTCGCCACCCTATGTCACACCCCTGCTCGCTCCCCCCTGTCTCCGCATTAATTCTACCAGTCGCTGTACTAGATTGTTTTGGCCACACCCGATTGCCACAGTGCAAGATCTAATAGTGTATCCCACGAAAGTGATAAAGCAAAATCAAATCAGATACTGGACACACTAAAACCCCCCACAAACACAAAACCAACTATCCATTAACGCAAATACAAAAGAAAAAAAAAAGCAAGGGAAAAGGCCGGCGCCGGCATTACAACTTTCCTTTCCAACTCCACTCTGGTCGCTCGTCCTATTTTTCTCTATTCCCCTCCTGCAACCCCCCCCCCCCCCCCCTCTTTTTTTTTTTTATTTTCCTCCTCCGGCTTCCGCTAATATCCAGCCCAAAAACACATATCACTCTCTTCACCCCGACATACGACGTTTCGTTGTGGGTGTACAGTAATTTCACAAGTGTGTCACTGCGCTTTCTCCTTACCTCAACGCTCCGCAGCGGCAGCTACGCCATGCCTTTCGGTCATCAGCTATCACTCACATTACCACCAGAAAGAAACTCAAGATTCAGCCATGGGAATTGAAAGATATCCGGTCACAAAAATAAAAAGGTTATGGCAGTGAACACTGTACGGTGTATATTGTCCTACACCCCGCCCCATCTAAGCTGCGAGAAAGGTCTTCGTCACGCACTTTTACCGTATTTATATATGCGAACCGTATATACCGTGTGATAACCACACCGGGAACATGTCACCAGCTCAGAACAGCCAAGCCCATAACAAGTACCATACCTACTCTGTCTATTGACAGGTTCCACAGACGTTCCGTAGCTCCCCCGATAACATAGGCCTAGGTAATTATCTTACAAGCTAATACGCCACTCATACAACTGCTTGGCCACAGCTCGCAATGCTGGGTAATGCCCTCGGAATTCCAGAAGTACTCCTTGCAACATGCATGCACTTCATCAAAACCTTATTTTCCGGAGGTTGTACACCCGGGTATGGCAGGTTTGAAACATGGAAGACAGGTTTACTAATTGCGGGGTCCCCCGGAAAATACGGATATCATAGATCTCTCCAGATTCAATTGCGCGTGTGAGTAACATGCACAAACTAGCTATGTGTCACTATACAAAACAAGACCAGGCTATTCGAAGTACAGGTAGTCCAAGAGGGGGTTTGAGAATGTCTTGCGGAGATCATCAAGTCCCCATCCTTGCGCAGTTCCAATTGTCGTAAGGACCTCCTTGAATTGCGGGATTTGAGTGTCATAAGCCACCTCCTTTAGGTGCTGCTTCATTTCCATACCACCGATGGTAGTGTCCTCCCTGAGATGAGATTGCGTATAAGTAACTGTGTCTATACCCCTCCGGCCACATATACATGACGGAGGAAGGAAGGAAGTGAAGCTACTTACCATTCTTTGGCCCAATGTGGTCTAACGTTAAGCGGTTTACCATCAGGTGTTTTGTACGCGCTCCAAGCATCAGCGAGCTTTTGGATAAACGGCTCCCAACTGCCGTCGTTCCCGGCTGCAAGATTGCTAATGACCTCGATGCATGCCGTCCACCTATTCCCGCCCTGCGGGGCCATGATAATCTCGCTGGAGCGCATAATACGTAGCTCGAGGACGATACGTAGCGCGCCGGTTTGCAACTTGTCCTCCTGTGTAACGGTCAACGCATCCCACCAGGCGCGCTGGACAATGCTCCAGTCAGGCTCCTCGGGATCGGTCGAGGAAGCGGGGATCGGGATGCTCAGTTCGAAACATCGGACGTGGAAGTTTTGGATCTAAGAAGGAAATTTTAGTATGCGTAATGTCTGAGAATATCCATTGATAAGGTACCGTACCCCGCGTCTGAAGTGGAGACCGTTAATGAGAGCTGTTTTAAGCGTCTTCTTGAAGAGACCGAAGGGTGGTGGCATGAGGGCCATGGCGCTTCCACCTATTCAAGGACAGTCAGTACATACTTCTGTAATTGAGCCCCAGGGTAATCGCTCGTATGAATCTGTGAGCAATGACACAGCTTACCATTGAGTACTCCTTGCTGCCATCCGGGCTGGCTCGTGAACCACGGCATCGAGTTAAGAACATCTGCAGCCGAGCTCTCCAACCACTGCAGAATGGTACCAGCCGGACTCGGGTATTCCACCGAACCCTTCGTCTCCGTAGTATTGTTCCTTCCAAGCAAGTTATTTCAGCTCAAAGCAAGATTCAATCACAAGGCGGATCCAAGGAGCGATGACATACCAGCAATTAACCCATACACGGGGATTGTACGGATACCAGAACCACTCAGAATAGAAAGACTTAGCCTTCTCGATAAAAGCAGACTCAGCGGTCTCTCTTTGGTCTTCTGAGAGATTGTAGCTGATGCCCTCGGGGATCTTGTAACCCAGCGGAGGAGGGATGGCAGATTGAACCGCCACCTTCTCGGGCGCAAGATTTGCGTAGGTCATTTTGTCAAGCTCGAGGGTGATGTGAGTAACAATTCCTTGCTCTTAATGTCAACTCAAGTGTGAAGGACAGGAAAGAATTCGGGGTGGTTGTTTCAAAAGGAAGTGGTGCATACCTAGAAGACCAAACGCGCCAGCTGCAGCCTTAAGCTGCTGTGGATCAGAAATAGCTTGAACGTCCCCATTGGCGTCCACGTATTCAATCTGCCGAACAAGGTCGCTGAGTGTATCGTGTGTAATTCCGGCACCGTGGCAGATGGGGGCATTGGCGCCACCGGCCGTAATTCTGTTCAATCCAGGATTAGCCAACTATACCCTTTCGACTGGTGCGATGATGCTTGGTATAGTTATTATATACGTACTCTACCATGATGACATTAATGGGCAATGACCATCCACTCTTCAATGACCACCTCCGGAACGCTTCATTACTGACAGCGGCGCCAACTCGCACCAGCATCTTATCGCCATCTGATGCTGCTGTATATGTCTGAGGTATCTCAATCTGGTTGAAGTCGGTCGGCTTTCCATCGATCGCGTCCGCAGTGATCTCCGCAGATGAACCCGTCGCAATTTCGAGGCTAAGCAAGGAAACGAGTATGTCGCCATTATCAGAGTACATATTCGACCATGTGTGTCGGAACCCGGCAGCTCGGACACGCTTGCACTGCTGTTTGGCCATCTTGACGATTTGCTGCACCTCGGTGACTTTGGTGGGGATGCAGGTGATGCTCGGAATGTTGCTGACGGTGCTGCCCCAGTTGTCGAAATCCACATCGGTAAGAATCTAAGTGTTGAGTTAGTAATTGTCTGCATACGATGTGGGTCCACTAGAAGTCAAGCATACTGTCATCTTCTCCCCTCCATCCTCGACTCCTATCACCGTCATGGATCCCGATTTCTGGGTACGTGCTTCCATATCAGCAAAGCTCACAAATCATAGAAGAGTACTAACCTGGGCTTCCCTCAGCACCTCCGCAGAGAACAAAGGACGCGTAGCTCCCAAAGGCGGGATAAAGTCATCCCCCGCTACCTCCTCGGCCGACTTCCCGGCCATGAAGTCCTTCACCTTATTGCGCAGTGTTGGGTTCAGACGTTCAAGGAAGTCAAGAAACTCCGGAGTATCCTTGATCGAGAGCAGCATGTTGCGGACATATTCTTCACCCTCGATCTTCGACCGCTCGAGACGCTCTAGCGAGTCGAGAAGACCAGGGAGGTGACGATCCCAGGGATCCTCTCCGACAACATTGTTCCCGTCCCGGAGAAGCTCTCCTGTAGTAGGAAACTCTGTATCCTGGTCATGTCCACCAGTGATATTGGAAGAAGACATGATATGATATGCTTAGTCTACTATTGTTATTGATATTGAGGGTAATTTGGATTGAAGCGAATATGTTAGTGGGAGTACCTTTGACTCGTAAGGTTTCCTGCGGGCTATCGATTCGTTTTAACTAAATATTAGCACACAGCTACACTCTCGCTGCTTCTCGCCGAAGAATGGCTGCGGGGAACCCACCTCGTCGTCCATCTGATTGATTTCAGCTCTTGAATCATACTTCAGCTCTTCAGCTCTTGAAGTCCCATCGTTCAGCATTCATCGAGATGCAGGAGGCCAGCCGATAATCATTGCTGCACTGCGATTATGGGGTGCCCTAGACTCGTGTATTGCGGGGTAATGTGCATTAGGCGATATGCATGCTGCGGCTGAGTCCATGCGATTCAGAACACGACCGGATCTGCATATGCAAATGTGGGCATCCATCCCAGCTTCGGAAGGACAGATGTTCTAGATTCGCGGTCTGCCAGATCGATCTGTAGCACGTCCGAATTAAGGCGAGTCTTCCCAGTCCAGTTCCAATGTTTATTATTCCTGTCGCGGCTTTGCGGTATTATCTTCTGGATGTATATATGAAACATTCGCAAAATCTCTCTCATGCATTAGCGTGATCAATCCAGGAAGTGAATGACTGGAGCATACAAGGCAGCGACCTGCGAAGTTTTGGAACTTCAAGTACTGAAAAACGCAGCAGAGAGCTTACCCTAATGTTTTCACACCTCAATTTCGATATCACATCCATTTTTATGAGCGAGAGAGATTTCGCAAATGTCTCATACATCCAGGGGATACATGGGTACGAATCGCCTGTGGTTTATATAGCTCAGTGCGTTAACCTTAACTGAAATACTAGCTATTGTATCTTGAAATTGACGATTCCAATCACAGCTGAGTTACTGCCACCCCCCACTTTTGCTCCCACCTCTATGCAGCAACCATAAGCTGGTCGTGTCGTTAAGCTTTTCAATCTCAGCCTAACTATGCTCATCGCCTATTTCGTATCATTATCACTCTATGCGGTCTTCGACATAGAGTAGCTACGTACTCATACACAGATGCCGAGTTGCCCCCGCAGAAGTCAAGGGTCAACCACGTACATGTATGTGTATTAGGACATGCTACTAGTCCAAGAATGCGGCATGTGAGCCCTATGATGGAGTCGGTAATAGAATCTGCTGCTCCCTCTCGATCACTCCCCCAACCGTTTCTTTCTCACTACTCTACCATATATCAATATACGCTTAGCTAGATACATAATTGAACTCGTAACACTCCCCCCGATGCCGCCAAAGAAGCCCAGGCCAGACCCTGCACGAGACACGTGCATGTCTCGGCGGTACGTACTGTACTCTAGAGCCGCCCCATGCAGAAACGTTCTCAACACACCCCAGAGAGGGGAAAGGGACGAACACAAGGAGGGAGAAACCATTTGCAGAGAAATGGAAATTGGATAGGACGAGCTGAGAGATAGCCCATAGGATCAGACGAGCAGAAGGAAGGTGTTTGAAGGAAACACTCCGCGTTTTTCACAAGTTACCACTTTCATATTTTCTTAAGTTACTATTTCGTTATTTTCTCTGTTGCTACCATGTGCGAGGCGGAGGAAGTGATTGGGAAGTTCTGGGGTAGTGCGATATTGTCGTAGACTACGGTCTGCATACAATTATTGAGTTACAGTCAACTGCAAAAGTCTTGATTTTCCTTTTTCGACTTGCGTCAACCTTTTTTCAGAAAAATCAAAAACTTAAAAAAACCAAATCATGCCCCTGAAGGTTAGTTCAAGCCAAATCTTTCATATTTAAAAGGTAATTGAAACAAGAACAGTCCATGAAAAGATTAGATCATTTCAAAACACAATAGCTCCCATTTGGCACGTTGTCAAAAAAGTAATTTGAAATATTTCTCACAGTCTTGGCATTTCATGGGCGAAAATGGCTAAAATTCGGCTGGGTAAGCCATAAAAAAAATCAAAACCTTTGCAGTTGACTGTAAATTAAAAAAAAAAAAAAAAAGTTCTCTGCACGAAGTCGCACTCGGTACCGGTACCGAAAACCCTAACCCTGGGCTATCAACACAGTAGAATCCCGAATAAATTCACTTTTATCATCTAAACTATATAGTCTTCCTTATAGTCTTCCTCATCGTCACCAGGAATGTTTTCTATTGGTTGCGTACTATTTCTAATATTGGTTGCATATCATTAGACAAAGAACTACTCCCGAGATGCAAGGGAACTGGCATTATTTTAAAAGGCGTGTAGCTATTGCAATTGATGGATATAAAAGAACAAACACTGACAGAACTATAGCTATATTTTATAATACCAACGTCGAATTTCCCGGATACCATTTTATCATGAACTACATGTACATACTAAAGCTACTCATTGAATGACTTAGAGTGCATACTGGAGCTAATATATCACAAATTACCTATAAGGAGAGATGGAGGTGAGGTTTATAATTTAGTGCGTGCCTGTACGTTTGGATGACCCAATAATCCAGAATGACAGCAATAATCTAAGAAATTGCTATCGCAGTACTGCCCACACCTTCATTTCCTCACCACATTTGGGCGACCGGAGGCCGCACTCCGCTTGTAATATATAATCCGGCCCAGGATCCCGCATGCGTATGTCAGCTTCACATTCCCACCGCCCGCCGGCTCCTCTTTCAGTCCATAGAATGAGATGTCCGACCCGGCTCTTCACAATCAAACAGTGCCAGTCTATTATACTCGAAGAGTATAACTCAGATGTTTCCCCATCGCTCAAACCACCTCCGAGAAGCTATATGTACTCACATATCCACCTAAAACACGCTCCGCACCGTACATACTGTACTACGGCGGCACGAAATTGCGTAACCAGGTAACCTCAGTCGTGCCATATCGGCATCGACGATATATCTCCGCACCCACACCCGTACCCGCACCGGTTACACCGGCTGGGAACACCGCATCATACGAAATGGTATCGCTAAATAACGTGGCACTCGATCAAAGCGATGAGACTGAGCTTGTAACATACAAGTACATATACAATTAATCATCGTTCGTAAGAAAAAAACAAGAAATAAGGACGACAATCGCAGACATGCTCGTCTTAATACTTTAGCAATCGTACCTGGAAGATCCTGGATCACTCTAAAGCGGAAAATCTCTACGTATCTACATTCTCGCCCAACCCCGGACCAAACACAAGACCTCCCATCATCTCGAAGTTGGTATCATCAACGGTAGGGCCAATGCGGTGAAGGTTGGGGGCCATATGGATGACCGTATCCATAGCGTTGGGCTTGAGCCATACTCACAGCTTGTGCTCGCATCATCTGTGCTTGCTGAATTGATGCTTGGACTCGCTGGGCCCTGACCCTTAGGAGTAACTCCACTACTCTGCCATGCCCCCCTGTTGTTGCATAAAACAATGCCGATTGGTTATAGATATCAACGCGGTCGATATATGCTCCTTTGGCTAATAGGGCCTCCACCACCTCAAAAAATCCACCTTTAGCAGCCCAGGCTAATGGTGCCATTCCCTGCCTATCCACCGCAGCTACATCCGCACCTCGTGCTAAAAGGACCAAAACCACCCCCTTCTGACCATGACCGGATGCAGTAATCAGTGGAGTATTTCCGCCTTGGCACCTTTCTTCAATACCCGCGCCATTCTGAATAAGGGTTTCAGCGATGGCTTTATACCCTTTCCGGGCAGCGACGTGGAGTGGTGACTGTCCAGCGTTCTCTTTGATATCTACGGGTATGCGCATTCTCGTGTGCTCCTGGACAAGGACCGCAACAACATCCTGCTTGCCCCCAATCACAGCGCGGTGCAGTGCACTCATGCCATTGTGTGCTCTGGCCTGGAGGTTTGCTCCATACTGGAGGAGTAACTTCACTACCGCGACATGTCCCATTCTGGCTGCAACAAGTAATGCCGTGACCCCTTTCCAATACGTGACGTTCCTTCAAGACCGATTCCCGATCCTAGGAGAACCTCAACCGTTCCCAAATGCCCAGCGGATGATGCCCCTATCAATGAGGACGCCTTTTCCTGGGTGTTCGCTGTCCCCAGGCGCGCCAAAAGTATCTTTACTATCCCTGAAAGACCTTCGATGGCTGCCACATTTAGCGCGGTGAGATTATCCTTATCTTCTACGGCCAAGTTGACGGGATAATCCAACAGAACGAGTACCATGGATTCATCCCTTTGACCGATGGCAATGTGAAGGAGTGTGGTTTCGTTGTCCCACTGCCGTTCATTTACAGCCCCCGGAGTCTTCTTTAGGATACGCCTTAAGGCGGGTACATCTTTAGAGAGTAGTGCGCCGAGTGCCGTCACCTGGCTTGATTCTGGTACTACTTCCATGGTTAACCACAAGAGCCCGAGAGCACATTTATGAATCAGATCAGTGTTGACAAACCTGGGATACCCCTCCCCTGCCGGAGATCTCGTGTAGGCAGTGGCGTTAAATGTGGCGTTAAACGTGGCGTTAAAAGTGGTGTTGAAGCTAGCGGAGTAGGCGCCTGGCTCTCCACATTCTGGCTAAAGCTGAAGTTCCTGAAATGGTCAAGGAAACTCTGATATGATCGCTCTTTGTTATGCTTGAACTTGACCATATCAGAGTGGTCCCCATCGGCTACATGAACCTGCTCAGTCCTGCTCGGGAGGCGTAGAATGGCGGATCGTCGGTCGACTCTTAGGAAGCGATCGCCAGTAGCTGTAGAAACGCCCTTTGGAGTCTAACTAAAGGTCAGCAGAAGCTACTACATAACTATGGACGGGATACGAGTTGGAATGTATAATCCCACATACCGTTACTACTCTCCTAGTTTGTATGGCCTCGTAGAATGTAATAATTTTGATATCATCGCAGCAGTTGACGAATCTATCCAGCTCCGCCTCGAGCTGTGAGTTTCCCGACCGCAGAGATTGAACGAGTTGTGTTCTCGGGGATCCCTCTTTGAGCATGCCAAGTAGATCATCTACTGAAAGGCCTTGGTGTGGCGTTCCGAAAAATGCAATAGCATGAGTGTTCTTGAAAATGGTGCCATGTATTCTATCGTTCTCTTTGGCTTTGACAATGGCCTAGCAAGTCTTAGTTTTGCTTGATGATGAGAAAGAGCGAAGCCATAACTACCTGAGCAATAATGACTCCTCCGAAACTATGTCCGATAAACACGATGGGTCTTGCTTTCTCCTGAAGCGTTCCAACGAATTTAGGTGTTAGCTGCAAGTGTCTGGATAGGGTCAACGGACCACACTACGGCCTGCTCACTTCCTGTGTCCTTCTAGCTTTTCTTAACTCATCTAACAACGTCAGAGCATAGTCCGATATTGTATGCGTACCACTGTCGGTCAAGTTCGTATTGCATCCAAAGATCATCGTCCTGCAGGATGGGAGGTCATCGCATAGAAAGTCCCGAAGCCACATGCTCTGAACACTTCCGGAGCCCCGTTTCCTTCGCCACGAACCATATGCGTGGCCATTCAACCCAGAAACCGCCACAATGCTAGATAACAGAACAGTTTCAGCATTCCGACAGACCATTGGGCGAAACGGGGGAAGGGAGGAGGTACTCTGCAGTAATAGGCAATTCTTCAGGCTTGTAGAGCTGGGTCAACTCATAGAAGTCTTTATCAATGATTATGTTAACCTTTTTCGGTCTAAATCTGTATGTGAGGACGATGGAGCCGTTATGGCCTAGATTTGCCAGGGTTTCCGGAGGAAAGTTAAAGAACTGGATAAAGGCCGTCTGAGTATTGTCGTAAGGCGATGGGGCAATGCTGGACTCGTCGGGGTCGATATGGTTGTTTAGAAACTTTTCCCGGAGTATGGATAAAACTTCGCTTATATCGGCATCCGGGGGAATACTTCTCACGCGAAATACTTGGCTTGACATCGTGACCGTGTTTCACGAGTAACACCGTATTATCAACAGGCTTTTGAGGGAGCGGCTGTTTCTTTGTGAAGTAGGCCAAGCCGAGGTCAACCAGGGAGCTGGGGCTTGCACGCCAGTCTAATATTCCCTAGAAGAACGAGTGAGACTGAATTCCGACCAAAGCTCAAGGAGCGGATTGGTATATATATGTACTCCGCACTTAGAAGGCTTTAACTCAGAGGTAAGACAATTGGCTGCATGAAAAATCGACTGGGCTTTGAAATTCCATGAGATACGAGGCGATCTCGGCCTCGTCTTTTCACCTCTCTTGTGTAACCGGCCACCGTTCATTAATGACCTGTCAAGTAATTTTGATGTACTCCGCCTCCACCAAACAGAGACTAGCCATCAAGTCTGCAGTCAAATGAACTGAGTGATAGGCTCGGTACGCTTGGGGGTATGAAGTCTTTCTGACCCCGGTGAGATTATGGGTTGAATTTGTATAGAAGATCTATTATTTGATAAGAAAGATAAGAAGATCTGTTAGTAGAGCCACACCAAATTTGCTTTTTTTTTTGGTGGGTCAGCACTTTGGTGACGGTTAAAGGGATTGGCCCAATTGGGCATTATTTTACCTACCTGAATATCTTCTTTCAGCGCATGAGAAACGATAGAACGCACTTCGCACTCGAATAAGTGGGTGGAGTGGTGTGTATAGGGTTCTTAAGATTGCCCTCTACACCCTCTTAGTCGTATCTTCTGTGCGATTGCTGGTGCCTTCTACCCCGCCCATGCGGAGGATGTATCCCAACGATGCTGCGCAGCAAAACAGCGAACTCTTAGTGATTGCCAGATCACTCTGCGCATGAGTAAGCACTGCGTAGAAACCAGCGACCGTATTTCTTCGGCGATTAGTTAGCATGTACTTGCTTTTGAGCATTTACGGCGGTGTAGCTGGGGGAGAAGTGCATGGAACGATAGGTTCCCCACGCATTATACGACCTTTCAAACACGACTGGGTGTGCATATGGAGACGAGGGAGTCTCCGGGTTCGGATGGAACCTCGAACTTTGATTTGACAGAGGAAAAAAGTGTTCCAGATTCGCGGTCTGCGTCTGAGGCTGAGGCTGAGGGCGCCAAACTATTACTGGGCCATCTCAGCTCCCCGGGCCGGGACTGGCCAGCATTTTATCCCCTGGATTGGGCCGGGCTGGATCCGAATACCTATGCCGGTCCTGAGACTGGTCTATGAAGAGCTCGGAAGTCTTGTGAAGGAACAAGTTTTCGTAGGAACGAGCGTCTTGGTGAGAAGAGATATGTTCCTAAAGGAGAGGGTGTCCAGAACCGATTATTGGGTGAGAAAGATGATAACAGAAAGACTGTAAGTTAAGAATAGCATACTTCCTGAAATTCAATAAAACTTTTCAATTCTACACATAGCCCTAGAACCCCTCTAAGAGGATGCTCGTAGTCCTGTTTTGTTATCTAGGCTGGGCAGTAGTTTCCTGGTACCTGAAGTCCTACTGGAAAGTTTAGATAAAGCAGCGTTAATTTGATTTCTTCCTGGGCCAGTGTGGGGCCCATTGTGCCCGGATATAATTGAACTGGGCTACCTAATGATCGGAAATATTCCACTCACGTTCATGGTCAAGTGGAGAGCAAGGACGGAATTGGCCTCGCGCTGGGCCTGCAGGCCCGGGCCCTTCGTTGGGCCTCTGGGCCAGGCCATCGATTTTTGAAGTCGGGCCGGGCCGGGCCGGGCCTCTGGTATTTTCAGGCCCGGGTCTTTTGAGTAGGCCCGGGCCATTGGAACATATCACCCACACGCTTCATTCATGAATAAAGAGGCGACTAGGTGGGGGCAGATGGGATCGAGGCAACTCAGTGTTTGAGATCATCGGACACTAAGGCGTTCAAAAGGGAATAGACAGGAAACCTGCATCGACTTCATCTATACACACTTAATAAACCTTTATTTTCTTCGTGCAACCTCGTTCTTTATCAGGCCCGGGGCCTGCCCGGGTCTTTCTTGTTGGGCCAGGCCTCAGCTTTCGAGACTCGGGCCGGGCCAGGCCAGAGGCAGTTTGAGGCCCGGGCCGGCCCATTGCCGTCCTTGGTGGAGAGAAGGTTACGTTTCCTGTTTGCGAGAATCGAATGAGGCTCAACTGCACGTGGTGGATCGACAAATCTGAAGGCCAGTTCAAGGTCTAATTCCACAGATCCGACCGAGATTTGTGATTACTAAATGATTTAGATGAACGCGTTAACCTTAGCTGAAGTAGCTTATAATTGATGACCACTCCAATTCGTCATGACAGAGACGGAGAGCCTTAAGCATCTCTAGCCACATCATGCAGCATAGTCGATGCCAACCATTACGAAGGTGGCCCGTATACACCGCAGCGCTGCAATTCTAACACCCTCCCTGTCTACATCCACACAAGCATCAATACCCCCATAACACGAACCCATAACCAGTGGCAACCCCCTGATCATTACCACCGAGTGATCCGCCATGACGCGAGTGATCGAAGATGACTCGGGTATATAAGCTCCCCGATACGTACTATACAGGAACCGAAAGTACAGGCAGGCATGAACGCAGTTGCCATATATGTCTCCGCGAGCTGTTTCATCGCTGTAGACGTGGACGTGTGGTGTCGGTCTGTAGGCATGTCGCTCGGTATCAGGGGATCTATTTGGGGGGGGGGGGGGGCGTGTCTGTCTACGGCTTGCAGAGGGTACATACTACTGGCATATCGGGAATTGCTGTTATGTAGTTTCCCGATGGAGGGGACGTAACCGGAGTGCAGATTGAATACATACCGGCAGGTCCTAAGCTATTATATTAGTGACGCGCCCACAGACCGACCCGCCAGTCCTGTTGGAAAGCTAAAGCAGCGATGCTCTATCGATCAAGGCAATACTCAATTCTCCCAGTCATGGTACCCTCTATTAGATACTCGCCGTAGAAGGAGCCCGTATATATCATTCTTTCATGTGTGGCGGCAAGGGTAAATGTGAATAGTGTTGTTGCTAGTGATGCATACGAGCCAAAAAGTCTCGAGACTTTGTTTTTTTAGACGATACGCGAGAAGACAAGACCTGTAGGTGGGCAAGACAATCAATCTCAAGAGGTCTCGAAACATCATGAGGTGTTAAAAAAGGGAGCATTTTCGAGGCGGAGGGTCTAGCTAGTGCTTTGATTAATACGTGCATAAATTCAAGAATTATCTAAACCCTAACCCTAATGCTGATTCTCATACATGGCCTCTGGTGCTCGAGCTGCGGTCTCGATACTTTGTGCGATACTTACCCTATAGTAGATCTCGTTAACCACAAGACCCCGCTCTTCTCAAATGCAAGACATGACAAGATTAATGGAAGTCTCGTCTTGTTTTGTGTTGTGTGTGCATCACTACATATATACATCCCCCGCGCGCGCGGACAGAGGCCTCCAGGATTCTATAATATATCAGATATAAAAGAAAAAGCCGCAGGTGCTTATGTATGTACCGACAGCAAACGCACTTTCCATGAGGAATCATAGTCCGTTGAGCGGGCGGGCAGAATGACAGACCGCCAGATGTTTCAGCGATAGAGATGGCCGCTCACAGACTAATGCTTTCACTAGCCGGACAAGCAGTCTATGCCAACGTACCAATTTACAAAGCCTCAGTACTCCCAATCATCTCCATGAGCCGCTGCTCTTTAACTCAGAGAAACGTGTTCGCCAGCAATTAATTGCATAAACTAGCAGTACCGGCGGCATCTCATGCTCAATCATAACCTATAATGTGTGGCTTCCGGCACTGCAGCGGTATTGGGGGTGTTCAACGCCGACATTCATTCTGCTCCTGCGAGACTGGTTTCCATCAGGTCCGGCCATCTAGATATTGAGTGAACGGTAACTAGTACTCGACATGCGCTTCAGCGCACGTTCTTTCCCGTGTTTATACCACATTTTACACAACACTACCTCCAGCGTGGCCCTTTATCGATTCCCGTGCTATAACATAACCTCTTTCCTAGCACGAGCTGGTGGGGTTTAAATAAACCCTAAACAAATTTACCGTGCAGTATTTAGCTTAAACACTGAACTGCTGATGCTAAACACTCCAAAGGTTGAATTCGAAGTAAACGGCAAACACTTCATAATAAACTTCACAACAGTTCATGTTAAACGCTCAAGAGGTTTCAATAAACCTCAAACAAACAGCACAGAGCTTATGTCAAACATTCTGAGGCTTGACTACCACCTCTACAGAGTTTATCACCCGCATGCCTCATGTTTATCCAAATGGGCTCTGTTTAAAGTAAAAAGACGATTTTTGTACCGTACTAGACATATGCATCGCGCGCTAACGGAGTCATAATGCAGGTTGTGCGACAGCGATAGCGACACCCCTGCCCGTTTGGCGGGGGGGTAGGCGGGACCATGGCGCTGAGAAGCTTAGTTCAATAGCCTACAACAATTAACCAAACCCAATTTAATTTTGAAAATTAAAACCTCATACTTGAGCCCTGATTAATACGCTAAAACACCACGCAGAGCCGAAACCCTGGTCTTATCCCTCCCATCGTTGTGGTGTAAGGTGATCCTGAGGTCGCACGATCTTTGATATAACTATGGCTACAAGTAGTCATCGATCTTAAACCCCGGTGTGTCGTTTACAACGTTCTCAGCGGGAACAAGTCTTTTTTTTTCAAATCCCTATCCTGCGAGATACCTATATATATACACTTTGGATACTTTGAAGAAAGCTGTTAGCACCCCCGAGGTGAAGCGCAACCAACCCAACTCCAGTGAGTACATGTAGTTGCGAAAAACTCTCCAATGAACGCGCCGTACAATGTAGAGCTGTACTGAAATTTCCACAAAAAGTAGTACATGCATGCTAGATATTATTGTACTGCGTTCCATATCTGACACTACATGTATGTACATACTTGCCATGGTGTAACATGCTGAGTCATTCAACATCGTTCTTTTCTGGGGGGCCTAACCGAGTAAGTCGCCCCACCCTAGCTAGCTAGCTAGCTAGCACTCTACTTGAATCCACCCACTACTTCCTACATCGACGGCCATCACCACCCCACCCCACCCCACCAGGAATATATAGCGCCGCTATATATCAGCATGTCTCACGCCGACCCAACCCCGGAAGCCCCAAGCGCAGCAAGCGCAGCAAGCCCGGATTTCGTTCCCCCGCCGGCGGCCTTCCTTGCCGAACTCCAATCGGTCACCTCCCAGGAAACACTCATGCTCAAGCTCCAGTCGGACAAACTCGATTGCCTCCGGACCGTCTCGAGCTATGTGGACCGACTCTTGCATGATTTCGAAGGTGTGTATCCCCCCACGGGTATACGTAGACAGCGCGGAGCGCTATCCGCAGCTAACCATTGGTAGGATCGGCGGGGAATGTGTGGGCCATGTACTCGAGACGGCTGGCCGACTGCGAGCGTTCTATCAGGCAGGAGTCTGCGCAGTATGATACGATGACGAAGCTTGTCGCGGATTCGCGGCGGCTGAGGGCGGAGATGCTGCGGAGCCAGAGCGAACAGCGGCAGCGCGCGGAGCAGACAGTGATGCTGAAGGAGATGGATCAGCTGCGTGATGATGTGCGGAGGGGGGCTCTGGCCGAGGTGGAAGCCCTCCGGAGGCAGCTGAGTGAGGAGAAGAGGCTCCATGAGGAGGTGCGACTAGCAAGAGATCAGCAGAGCTCTGAGCGGACTGATAGGGAGAAGGAACTTGGCAAAGTGACATTGGAGGTTGAGCGGCTCCGGGAAGACCTCACTGAGGAGAAGAAGCTGCACGAGGAGACACGATTGATGAGAGACCGGCACATTTCTGAGCGGGATGAGAAGGAGAAGGAACTCCGCAAGGTGACTTGGGAGGTCTTGAAACTCCAGGCGCAGCTGAGTGAGGAGAAGAGGCTCCATGAGGAGGTGCGACTAGCAAGAGACCAGCAGAGCTCTGAGCGGAATGATAGGGAGAAGGAACTTGGCGAAAGGACTTTGGAGGTTGAGCGGCTCCGGGAACACCTGACTGAGGAGAAGAAGCTGCACGAGGAGACACGATTGAGGAGGGACTGGTTTTCTGAGCAGAATAATAAACAGAAGGAAGTCTGTGAGGAGTTGCACAAGGAGAATAAAGCGTTACTTGAGGAAATATCCCAGGGGAGGGAGGTGCGCGAAGAGACGAAGAGCGAGATCGAGAAGCTCCGTGCGGAGCTTCTGGAGGAGAGAGAACATGTTCGTGAAGAGATAAAGGTCGAAATGAAGCTACAACAGGCAGAGCAGGAACGATCGAGACGGGCGCTACTGGAGCAGCAGGCGAAGCAAAGCCGAAGAGCCGAGCAGACAACCGCGCGAGATTGATGAGGGCGATAAGACACTTTGGTTGTTTTGGATCGAGCGGCGAGTGGGTCTCTTTGTTGACATGACTCGGCGGGAGTGTCACGCTGCGGGTTAAGAAGGGAGCGAGGCCTTGCGCGTTATGACCTGGATAGGTGTAGCTGAGGTATGAAGAAAGTAGGGAGGCAGGAAATGATGCGCTATATATGTAATCCTGTGGCTTAGCCGCTTGTTCTTCGCCGGCCATGGTCTCTTTCAGTAACTCGTTTCCCCTCTAACACTTCCCGTACTAGCTTTGCTCTCCATATACCTGCGTGTAGTATTTAAAGGAACCAATTAATTTCGGTCCTCGAAAAGCAAAGTACCTCTACGCCAACTCATAGGGTAACCTACTATACTGGTCGTGAGTACATGTGCGGTAGTAAAGTGTTGGGAGATTGAGATCTTTATATCTTCGTCTGGGTTTAACAAGTGCGAGACAGCTGCTGGAGCACACCCCCCCCCCCCCCCCACACGCACATCAACATAGCTCCCGCTCGGGCAAAACCTGCAAGATGCTCTAGTGTAGGGGCTCGGGCAGCGGGCAGTTATGTTGGTGCAAACGGACCGAGAATGGTGGTCATGAGTGTAACGAGTACTAGTATGCAGTTCGCATGATGCCAACAGGACACGAGGTCACATGTTTTGAAGGTGGTCTGTATTTAGAGTAGACCAGAAGGGAGCAGCCAGGAGGCCTTCCCTCTTACAATCCTCATCGTTATCATCAATAACGAATCAAGTTGATTACATCTATCCAGCATACTTCATGTGATATTAGATTTCAAAGAGGATCCGCAACAAACGCAATTTCCGGTAGTAGTAGTAGTAGTCGAAATTGCATACCGGGAGCTAGATAGACATGTACTCCGTTCATAGACTAATTCTTTCTGCCGGACAATTAAGCGGCCTATGCCCATCCATCCACAGTACAGTCCCAGTAACTACCCCCAAGTTTCCGCAACCGCTGCTACTACCAACTCGGTAATGCACCCGCCGGCGTACACCTATATTACATGACCTAGCACCGACATCTCAATTACAACGAATTTGAGGCTTCCACTGGAGAGTTGTGGGCGGTGTTTAACGCCGAGATTCATTGTGCTCCTAGCGCGATCGAAACTGATTTCCATCAGGTAGACTAAATTATAAAGGTCCGGCCATCTATATATCCAATGAACGTTAACTAGCACTCGAGCCCTAGTCCTACAGCGCACGCTCTTTTCTGTCTTTAGTATCAATCTTCTACTCTACCCCCCCCCCCCCCCCCAAGGCTCTTTATCAATTATGTTTCTAGAACAACCGATTTCCCAACACAAACTGGCGGTTCTATATATGGTCAACTCCATGACCAACAGCCCCCTCGCGGAATGACCCCCCGAATCTGTGGACTCGCCTCCCTTCGATCGGAGATCAGCTCGCGCGCGGCTGTTTGGTCCCTGTTTGGCACCGTCAGTAGTGAACACATGGACAGCTGACTAAATCAAGCTATCACTGTTTGTGCGGGCTGGGAGAGGGGCGGGGATAGTCTCGTGCCCAGCCTGTGTTTGCTTGATTGTGTCTGCACGCGGTGCGACAACAAAACAGTCTGGGAACGAGACTAGGGTGGGGATGGAAAGCGGGTGATATGGACGGCTTGCGTCGTCATCAGAGATCAAACACATTGATCACTCAGCGCTACATAGCTGGGGTTGACCCGTCCTCTGTAGTACACTAAAGCCTCCGTGAGTAAATAAGTAACTTTCAACTAACTGACATTTAGATTGTAATATTTGGTACCCCCCCCCCCCCCTTTTTTCTTCCCCCATCCTCACGACATCTAAATACCTGATTCTGATCCCGACCCCCGATTCTGCTTCCACAGCGCTTTTTCCCGCGCGGGTGGTAGAACCGGTCACGAGCTATCACTCGCAGTATAGTAGCAATAACCACCCACCAACCCTCACGCCCACTTGCGCCAGCTAACCCGCAACTCTAACTCTACCACCCCGCGCCAAAGCGCAAATTAAAGTCAGCACCATATCATCTGCAATCAGGCAGGCAGGAATGCAGCCGCGGAGATAAAGATGTAAAAAAGAAAACCTGAGACATCGGCGGGTATATTACCTATCTAGCGCGGAACGGTTCGAGGGGTGCATGATTAATTCAGGCTGGGGGTGGCGCGTGGGGTTGGGGTGGCTTCTGACGTGTAGGATTGATGATTGAGGAGCTGGGGGGGGGGGGTTGGTCTCTTGGCTATCGTGGACAAGCTGTGCGTACTGGTGTGTGCGTGGCAAACGCGAACGTGTTTATCTCCTCGCTTGATAGCCGCGCTTCCAACCATGTATGTAGCCGCATCATAACTACAGCATATATACTCGAGGTCGACCATCACAACATTGCTGCGCTTCAATTTGAAATTAAACCACTCCTTGCCTGCCTACCTACCTATCCACACAAAGCAGTAACAGCCACCTTAATCCGAGTCCTTATCCCCGTCGCGTCGCGGCACCCAGGAGGCTGGAGCGCTGATTATTATTACCAAACCGAGTGATCGATGATGACGCGAGTGATCGAACATGATTACGTTTTTTTTTTTTTTCCTTATATTTCTGTTTGCTTTGATTCAACTAAGTGCATGCATGCAGCCCTTACGGCTATGTATCGGCAATAAACGATCCCTACAAGGCGCACGTGGTGATGCATCCCCGATACGTACGGGAATGGAAAGGACAGGCAGACGGACATGACTGCTTGTGATGTATACATATGTCTTTGCGAGTCTCTATATATGTATCCCGGTGGGTAGCGGTGTCGAGTGATAACTGTATACGGAGACCTCTCATGCATGACAGCCAAGCTCCCACCATCCCGAAACACCACCGCACAGACGACAGCGCCCCGAACACGTCAACCAGAATCGCAACGCACCTACGTACAATGCGCCAGTCATCGAGCCGAGCGCCATCACTTCCTACAACAGCCGTCCATGGGCACAACGACAACAGGCTACTTGGTACGTGCGGCGGGACGGAATCGCGTGAGCAGATCGATAGGCTACCTGGGTGAGAGGTGCCGAGTGATGGTGTATGACGCGAGTGATGACCTATGATCCGGCTTGGCTGCGGGCGGGGGGGCTAGCTTTTTTTTTTTTTTTTTTTTTTTTTTTTTTTTTTGTTTAATTCATTACTTGCATGCAACATTACAGATAATTATGGCAATGTCGCACTAGACCGCTAGCTAGACTACCCATCGATCTTCCTCCCCCGCCTCTCACTATCAAGCTGAAAAACAGAAGACAGAAATACATTATGAAGCTCGTTACTCCCGGTCTCTTACTAGCTAGCTAGCTAGGTAGCTAGCTGGTACACCGTCTGTGTACTAGCCAGGGTATTGTGCGTGGTACTAGTACTGGTTGTGGAGGACCTGTGTTTGCTGTTGAGGTGTGTATATATATGGGGGGGGGGGGAATCCGCCGCGCCGCTCGACGGGATCGGAATGAACAGGGCTGAATTACCACAGGCGCTGTGCCTGCATGCAAGCGGGGTTTCGATCGGTTTCAGCTCGCATCTAGCTGCTCCCGGGTTGGTTGGTTGGGTGCCATATCTCTGTCTGTCAATCAATAGCTTAATTACACCCGGCGTCACACCGGGCTGCCACCAGGGGGAGGAGGGGTGGGTTTGCGGGTTGGAGGTAGCTAGCTAGCTAGCTATTGATCCCCCATGCATGGCCGGTTGTGGACCCACCAGCTAGCTGCAGTTTGTGTTGGGAAATAGGTTACGGTATAGCACCGTAATGATAAAGGGCCCCGCGGGGGGGGGGGAGTAAAAGGCCTAGGTGATATAAACACAGGAAAGAGCGTGCGCTGCACGAGAGTCGAGTGCTAGTTAATTCGTTCATTCAACCTGATCGAAGTCAGTATCGCAGGGGCACAATTGATATCGGCATTAAACACCCTACCATATCTACCGCTGCAGTGCCGGAAGCCTCGATCGGATTGGTTATTGTTGAGATGCCGCCGGTGCTAGTTCACGCGAGTTGGCGGGGAATGCGTTCCTCCGAGGTTCAATAGCAGCGGCTGCAGGAGCTTGGGGGGGGGGTACTGAGGCTTTGCGGATGGATAGGGGCTGGGCGTACACTGCATGCTTGTGCGCAGATCTGGAAAGAACTAGTCTGTGAACGGACATGTCTATCTCACGATACGAAATCTCGATTGTCGATGCACTACTGGGAGTGCGTCTGTTGTGGGTGAGCAGCCCTACCAGCGGCACCTCTTTGAATCTAGCATTACAGCATCTTGCAGGCTTTACTGATCATGATACCTGGAACCACTGAAATATTCTAGCACACACAAGCCGCGCGAATCGAGTTGAGTAAGGTGTTTTTACAGGTCGATTCGAGATTTTCCTCGGTCTTGCTTGCAAGTCCCGAGCCGAGCCGGCTCGTCGGCCGCATAGTAAATAGCTGCTGACCCTTCAAGCGGTTACTCAGTCGGAACTATGCAAGATGCCGTGCGCGTGAGGATCATGCTCTTTTATTATAGTGCTCAATCCACATTATTCTTCTATGAATTCACTCCATTATCGTTATGGGCCATGTCCCTTGCTTGACGCCCAACGGTACCGGCGGGGGTCGTTGTAGTCGACGGGATGATCGTATATATGTTCACGATTAGGATTGTGAAGAGTAGCCGGTGATGAACGAAACGAAAACCGCCGAGTGAACTAAACATAAGGGGCGCGACCGACTATCTCAGCACTACAAACCCTCTGTTTGACCTTTAACATCGAACAGTACGTCCGCGAGAGAAATCCTTGCCGCCGCGCGCCAAAACCCTTAAAGCCGATGGATGGCCTTTTCCACAGAATTCCCGTTATACACAGTGGCTTGATTCGCCCAGTGCTACCTACCTCACGCAGTTATTTGAGTCAAAATACCGTTTCTTGACCTGGTTCAGTTGGTACTTCGTCTGCTTTCAAAATTGGATGTGGATAATCAGCACCACCGAGTGATGAAGCAAGACGCGAGTGAGAGATGGTGATTAAACTCACCTGGCACAGCTTCCGGGGAAGCGAGCGCGCTGGGGGGGAACAGCAAAGTGAACGATCCAATTGGTCGGTTTTTACCACATAGTAAGTTCTAGAAATAAGCTTTGGGTGTTAGATGGTGAGGCCGTAGACATAGAGGTTCTGCAACACAATGGTGACGGTCAGAACAGCAGATGTCAGCTATGGCAAGCGCTGCTGCATCCGAGCATGGCGCATCAGCTCATACAGCTACTTTAACAAAGGTAGATATCTCTTACCGGCCTCAAAACCAATACAATTATACCAAAACTACTTAGGAGTACTGGAGTTATTACAGAATACCATCACTCCCTTGGCCACCATCATCTCCAGATCTGAATCGTATTGAGAATGTCTTGAATGTTCTCAAAAATAGACTTAATCAGAGGAAGCCGAGGCCAGAGGGTGAGGCAGAGGTCAAGGTTGCGGTTCTAGTACAGGAATGAGAGAAAATTACAGGGGAAGAGATCTTAAAACGTGTAGATAACATGCCAGAGCGGATACAGGATAGAATAAAAGCGGCTGGGGGTCATTCCCGCTGGTAGAACTGGTTATTCGCCACCGTGTCTCACACCCCTGCTCGCTAACGCTGGTTTCCACAATAATTTTCCAGGAAGCTGCAGCAAGTGTCTTTGCTTGCATGTGATGTTTGCGAACATGCCCAGGCCAGATCTTGCATGTGACACCTCGCCTCGGTGGTACGTAGAATCATTTGCGAGTATCCTCTACCCTACTGCACCCCCATGTAGAGAATTTTCAGTGTGAAGTCGCAATCGGCACCGACATCCCTAGCCAGCCCTGACCTATCGTCAACACCCCACGCGATGCGCACGGGAATGCCGCAAATCCGATCCGAATCACAGAATGCGCTTGTGCAACCTACACTGTAGAGATGATAAATCTCCGAACTTATCAACTCTTATCGCAGGACATGCAACGGGATAGTCCTCTAGCAGTATTGAATATTCTCGTGATGCCTGGCCGCGACGATTCCCACCTCCTAGCAGCAGCATCGGTCTGTCAAAGCCCGCCTAGCACATCAAGCCAGAACTCTAGATGCATCAACCGCACGCTCCCACAGCTGGCTCCTCATTCCAGACCATGAACTCCTCCCGGGTTCTCCACGAGTGAAGCCCTCCAGCGTGCGGGGGAATGAAAGCGACCCCTAGCAACAGGAGTACACGCAGAGCCAGCTACCACCGTCACCCGGCGCTATGTTGCGTCTCTAATAGAACTCCGGGACAGAGGCCTCTACCGCCAATACAGCCCGAAGGCGTCGGCCCGTGCTTTGTGACACCGGTTGCTAGTGTGCGAGGCGGGGCATTTAGTCATGGTCTATCACTCGCTCAGTTGTGTTGATCATGAGCGATAATGGCCTAGCGCCACGCAGAATAGTCAGTCAGCATCGTTCTACCCCCAGATGAGCGGTCTCGGCGGTTAAGAAATTGAGGTGGCAGCTTTTACATCAAGTATTCAGACTCGGAATGGTCGCGGTTGGCCGGATGTGACGGGGAAAACTGCATGCGCTCGCAACTTAAACCATCACCGGCATCACATCACCTCCGCCCGCAATGGGACACACAACGACACGTCCGGTCGCCGCGCTCTGTGGAGAGAGAGCGTACACGTCTGGGATAGATCAAAAAAAAAAAAAGTGAAAAAAAAAGAAAGAAAAAAAAAGGAACTCGTCCTTACCACCGAGTGATCTTGTATGACGCGAGTGAGGAGGTATGATTCGGCTGGGCTGCGATGATTAATCAACCAAGATGGCGCTAGTACACCGCGCGTCCGGAGCATTGTGGCGCGCGCTGGTGGTGAAAGACTTGTGTTTGCTATAGCCCGTTGCAGCCACTATGTCCATATCTGTCAATACCTTGCACAGTGTCCTTGGTTTGAATAGTCGTACGTTTTCGGATGGAAGCGAGGCGAGTCTATAGATTCGAGGTCATTTCGCGAGGTAGCTGCTGATCATGTAGTCATATAACCGCCTATTTCGGTTAGGAAAGGGGTTACGGTATATTAAAGTACCGGATAAAAGAAGTGGAGTAAAGGTACGTGATATCGTGGGTTGGGCTGGTGGTGCTATATAGGCGCTAAACCGACCCGTGCGCGTGTTGACGCATTTCGGTGTCTGATGAAAAGGTAATTCGACTTGGCGGACTGTCACCCAAGAGGTCGAAATCGCGTTTGGCAGGTAGTTTCGATGCGCTCTGTCTTTAAATCAAGATCTAATATCATTGTCCGCCTCCTCACCCAACGAAGCCCCATGATCCTCAAAATCCTGCCACACGGCGGTGTGGTGGCATCATACTGCGCAGCCTGGCGAGGAAGGAAATAAGCGGAAGGAACAAGGGTTAGGTTTATCCTCCAATGACCGCAAAGGTACATGTATTAATATCGATCGGTACCGTATTATGTAGTTTATACTTATCGTAATAAAAGATGATAGTCTAGTTATAGGACTACTATGTACTTATTTCTATCATGATAGATCGTCTCTTAGACCGTACTTTTTACCTACTACTCGTCTGAGAACAGTGAGAGAATTCCCCTTTCCCCATCATCATCAATACAATGTATATATATTTCAATACGGTTAATCAGGTTGCACAATATACAACCCACCGCCCGTTACGGCGTCTTCTCCTCTCAGGCCGGTTCCTAGTCCGGCCAGTCCTCTAGTCCCGGATCAACGAAGTACTACTTTTTAACGACGCAGGATTTTGGAATTAGTGGGGTTAGGGCTTCTAGCAGCTGCAGACTTAGCATGAACACAGCACTATCAACCGGGCCAAGTTGCCTCAGCGGACGGGAACACAGCACGTGCAATCTCTCAACCTGCTCGTTTATCTTGAAAACGCCCCCAATACTCCTCATACTCGCTGGGATTTTGGCCCACCCTCACCTCACTTGGCGTAATCCGATGTGGTGTAACAGTTAGCATCGCTCGCTTTCAAGTCCTTCTAATAAGAGGGAAGCTGGTCCGAGCAGAGCGGGGTTCGATTCCCCGCATCGGAGTAAATTGTATTTTATTAGAACCAGTCGCCAGCAACCCTAACCCTTGTATAGACACCTAACCCTAAAATGTTACCCCTCTTAAAATAGTATGCTCAGCACGTTTCATAGTATTGGAGGATTCTCATTTGTCATCATGAGTCACGGGTTCTGACTCATTCTTTCTCTGGTATTTATTAGTCATGTTTTTCTATTACTCATACGGCTATGATTTCTTATGTTTTGTGTTACCTTTCTTTAGTATAAATACGGGCCATTCCCCCCTCTAGTTAGTTGGAATAACACGCTCAATTACTACATTTCTCTACATACATTTTCTCTAACTCCAACCCTAGATTTTATCAATTTGGGGTCAACACTTCTACAAGTTTTAAATGGAGCACACCAGATATAAAGTAGCTGGAAGATGATAGAGATAGACAGTTGATAGTGAATCACTGCTTGTATAATTTATATATTTTAAAACCTCTACCAATTGAATTATATTGAGGAATATAGATCTTCTCTTTAGTAAGTCGGGAAATGAATCAAACGATATCTTTCCTGTGAAGAAAATTTTGGAAACGAACCACCTGATCCACCTCTCGAGGTTATTGGTTGGAAATGGGACTGGATATGCATTTCCAGGGCCGTTTGATGCATTTCCATGATGCATTTCTATGATGCATTTCTATGATGCATTTCTATGATGCATTTCCGGAATGCATTTCCAGGATGCATTAATCTGGACTTAGTGAAATTCAGTGGAATTCTGAAGAAATCGCATGAGTTCAGTCTATATAAGTATAAGTAGGTAGGAACTATAATTATTCATAGCTCAAGTGATAGATTCTAGATTTTGTTAGCTGAATAGCATAGGTTCGGTTCCCTTATTTTTCGTTTTGTTTACACCAAGTAGTACCGCATATGGCTACCACTTCTGGCAGTAGGAGACGGTTTTTGTATCAAGAATGGTACCTAACGAGACTATCGATCCATTTCTTGGATACCTTTCTTCAGGTAAATCGGATTCATTTCTTCGGGATATAGCCTATGGCCCAGATAATCACTCTCCTGGCACACATATCCCACACAAACATAAGGTGGTAAAAACGATTCATTATCCGATTCATTACCCAGCCCGACTAGTGTCTGAGAATGCGCATCTAAGTTTCATGGATCGATTAGTTAATACACTGGGTTACGAGGAGTTGGATTAGTCAGAAAGGTTCTATTGGGTTCTAACGGATTCTGTCTGTCGTAAGTGTATGAGTCACTTTGGATTTGTCATCACTGGGATTTCCTTGGGTATATTAGGAGGTTTCGCCCTTGTTTCTGTTCTCTTTCTCTTCTTTCTTTTGATACACAATGTCTTCTGTACCTACGCTATCTATTACTATATAATATTATTTCCTCTTCTTTACTCAAAAAGATCACCATGCCGCTGCTTCCCTTATTCCGTTGACCCTTACCAACGCTAGAGTCCCTCAAGACCCCTATTGCAGGCTCCTACACCGACCTCTACTACCCCTTTCGTACCCTGCGTAATACTCGCTACTCGTCCCCTTGAGACTAGGAAGGATATTGTTCTTTCCTATTAGCATCACAAATTCAAGATGTAGTGGTAGGTACTCTCGTATGCATATGTCATATCCACGTGATAGTCTATATTTCCTGTCGCTCGCTCACCAGTGATGTCAAATCAACTTATAGGTCGAGTAGACGCTAGCAATTATCTACCCGCTAAAGATATTAAAATATAATGAAAAGGGCTTATATGCAAGATATATTGGCATTCTGACCTCTTGACTGGCTTCAGTTGTGCATATGTATACTATACTTGTCCGTCAAAATCACTAGTTCCTGTACATGTGCAGACTTGTCCATCGTGAGAAATCACTCGATGGACAATGATATACTTTGAAAGGAGGATATGTAACTACTGGAAAGTAGGTGTGTTTGTGGATAAGCAGCGCTGCACTTTTGCTGTATTGTTCGAATTTGTAACGGCAGCTATATGTTTCGGTTATATGAAGTGTTAGAGTATGTTAAGGAAGGATTGTGTAGTGTGTGTGGGATTTGTTAAGCGAGTTTCTATTATGTTCTTTTTGTTTCTGTTATGTGAGAAGATGAGTCATCGTGGGTTGGGGTTTGGATATATAAAGGGGCGTTGTTTTGGCTTTCTTCTGTTTTCTTTTCTTTCCTTTCTTCTTTATGCAACCTCTGTATTTATTCTACGAATACTATTCTTTGTCTGCACTACGTCATAGGGCTCCAATCGGTTTACCATACCAGGTAGAGCCACCCATAGTCTATAGTCAAAGTATACCTTTACGTCTACGTCCACGTCTACGTCACTACCGAGGTTGTATTCCTTGGCACCACAGTCTATCGCCTACGGTCCCCGTGATACGTAGGTTGCATCCTCTATCGCCAACCAATACAACATCAT